ATAAACGCAAAGTTCAAAACAATATTTGACACATTAACCAAATCACCCATATTGGTACATTCCAGTGCCAAAAAAAGCAAGCTACATGCAAAGTTTCATTAATATTGAGGTTAAAAAAAAAAACAAGTTAGGCATCCAAGTTGTGTTCTGAGGAGAGAGTGCTCATATTTACTTCAGGGAAGCCTTATAAATTAACATGCAAACAGGAGACATATAACTTATCACAACAGAACTTTAGCTCACAAGCCCAGTGATTAAAAACAATCGATTTTCAACACAGGTATAGGAACAAACAGGTCCAAAGTATATTAGGAGAACAAAGTATATCTATATCTATATATCTCTCTCTATATGTTAAGCTTATCATAATGGCTAAATATTGCTTCTATAGCAATGTAATTATTTAAGCTATAACAAAGTAACACAGTATTTTAATTCAGAGAAGGGGCTGTTTATGTACAGATCTGAAATAAATCTGTATTCCAGGACATTTAAAGATAGGTAGAGTAATCTGAGATATTCAGCCCTGGCCAGAGGCCAGGGGACACCAGCACCATTTTCTTTAAACTAAATCAACACTCTGCTTATGAAAAGACAGCATGTAGCCTTTGCAGATCTTTTCTATACACCAGCAGGATAAAGTCATCTGTCCCTGTACAGCTCAGAAATACTCATAAAAAGGCCACAGATGCCAAAAGCCCTTTTCCAGAAAAAGGCCTTTGTATATACCGGCTTGATACTCTAAGAAAAGGAGTGGTTATGGATTTATAGATTAAAACTTTATCATTTTAAGGCTTTTGAAAGGTTAGCAAGTCAATTTTTTTTTTTCTTAAACTACGGAGCCCATGCCACACAAATGACTACAGGAGCCTGGGAAAGTTCCCATCAAATGTTTCTAGAGAGTATCCTGGTTTGTGTGAGACACTGGTGAGGACACAGCAACAGTCAACAGTGAGAACATGCAGGATAAAAGAGTTAAAGCTTTTGGGAAAAGTACCGACTTGCCATGTGCTTAAATCTGATTTGTCTAAATTTGTTAACTTCAGTACAGAAAAACTGGCTTGGGTAATCAATCCATTGCTACTCCTTTTACCCCACAATACATATTCTACAAAGTAACATATTATTGACAGAAAAATGATCACAAGAGCTTCCCTGGGACAGTGAACTATCAGAGGCATCATATAGGTGATAAAACATTTGAAGTCAACGACAAAAGTTCACTGGTATTAGTCTTGACATTTCAGATGAGCACCCTGTTTTCCCATCACAGAAAGACCAACCACCAAACAGCTAATGCAAGGACCACAAGAAAAGACATCATGAAGGGAATACGAGGAGATGGAAAAGTACTAGAGTAGAGGTGGCACTTTTTGAGAGACTTGTGATCCTCAGGGATTGGAATAGAAACCTTGGGAGGAATTTCTTCATTTTCTTGCTGGGGTAAGACTCTTTCAGCAGATCTCTCTTGCCTTTTAATTTTCTCTTCATCCTGTACTAACAGAGCACGTTCCTGTGTCTGCTTTCACGGTAGAAGATCAAGAAAGACAGAGAAAGATGAACAAAATGACAGATGGAAAGTGCTCAAAAATGATACTTGGGGATGTGCAAAGGATTTGAAAAGACCTTTTGGACACTCTTTGAGATTTACTTTGGCAATCTATCCTAGCAAAGTTTCTAGAACACAGTAGGGTGCTCTAATTGTTTGAATAAATGAATATTAGAATGCCTAATTCTAGTAATGCAAGGAATCAGTACTTTTCCTTACTTATATTATTTAGTCCTCCTTTGAGGATATTCACATATAATTTTTTTTCACATGTGAATTTTGGCCATTTTTCATTGCTTCAGTACTGTCCATCACCAATAAACTGAGCAATGCCAATAATAAAGTATTCTTCTTACCAGGAGAAGAGTTATTCTTATTACAAGTAAAATGGCAGAATATAAAAGTGATCCTTGTATCTCTTTACATAGTCTTTAAAAACTGCAATTATTCAATATGATAATTAGCTTTTGCTCAAGGGAATAAAAGTCTTATACATTTTAAAGATTTCAAAATAAAAACAAAGTATAAAAGTTTATAATGTACCTCCAGGGTCTACCAAAAAAAAATCAAAGAAAAAAAATTTTAAACCCACAATATCTCAACAATTGCACAGTTAGAATCACGATGAAAAAAAAACAGTGACCATGATGAAGGTGTAAGCAAGTACTTTTGACAATTTTAAGGAAAGTTCTTTGTCCCAATTGTCCAATTGAGAATTTTCCTGCCCAGCAATTTTTGTCCTCTGCTATCCATAGTCAAGATGGTTCTTATCTATGAAAGGAAAAACTTGGCTCTAAGTTCTTTCAGTTGGGCTAGCCTTCTCTGATCAGTTTGGAAGTTCAGCACTGGTTCTTTGCACACCCCTAAGTGACATGTATCAGGGAGAAAGTAGCTAGGGGACTGGTCAGCAAAAAGAAAAAAAACGGAAAAGAAAGGATGCAAAATTATAATGATTTTTAAAAGAAAATAAAGTGGGAGAAGAAAGACAACATAAAAAGAATAGGGTATAATTAAATTCATTTTCTCTCTGAATACATATTTACATCTTCATGCAGCTTTTCAACCAGCCATGCGCCGAAATAAGCAAATTGAAAGCTGCAATGCGGCAGCAGTGAAAGTGTAATATGTTAGGCCGAAGGCTGTGGGTGTGAATTTACTAGAATAGCCAAAAGAAAAAAATTATCCAGCAGCTGTTGTTCAGTTCTGGGGGGATTTTCTGCTTAGTGCCATGACAAGAGCAAATTCTGATTGAGAAGCATAAGTTGTAACAGCAGCTTTACCTCTGGCCCACCAACCTTTCTTTCCGAGGGGAGGATAGAGGTTTTCTTCACCTGGTCATACACAAATTATATAGAATTCAGTTGCCTTGCAATGCAACAACCATGCTATCAAAGGTGGAAGAGGTAAGCCCAGAGACAGAAATACTATCATAATTATGAAAGAAAAAGTAAGATATTCCAGAAAATGGAATTATCCTAATATAAAAAGTTATGATACCATTCTTATTCATTCCATTACTCATTTAGAGAGGTAAATATACGTAAGCATAGAGCCAAAATTATTCAAGTATTCCTCATGGGCCTCATTTATTTTATAAAAAGCCACTTCTTTAAAGTCCACAGAATGACATTGCCATTCCCAAAACCAGTCCTAAGATAATTTCTGAAGGGTTTCTATTAAAAGACTTAAGATATTTTCTGGAAATGGAGACTGATACAAATTTACCCAATATTATGGAAGACAGCACCAAGTTATTTTTTCAAAGTAGTTGAACTGTACAAAGTCAAAACTAAAACTTCTGGAAAATATGCAGTTTGGGTTTTCAGCTAGGGTTAGTAGGTAAGATAGCAACAAGCCATTTTCTCCTTCGTAAGATTTTAGAGTTACAAGGACATTACAGATCACCTATTCCATAAATGGGGGCCCAGCAAGATAAATGAATTGTTCAAAATCAGTTAGGCTTCAGTTGGCCAGAACCTCTCAATCAAATCAAGCCACAATTCCTGCTGGACATTTATGATTCTTATTATTAGGAATATATCTAAATGAAATATCTAACACTGAGAGGGGTAGTCTCATCCAGAAAGCAGGGTTATTGTCCCAGTTTAGGATATATGCCCTAGATTCAGAATATGACTAATGTCCCTTTAGATTAGGGAATGGAACTGAGGGGACAATGAGTAGGAATACCACTGTTCTATCATCCTTGGAAACTCTACTTTGACTGTTCATTATTCAAGTATTCTCCAGTCTTACTTGTAAAACTGTTTGGAGAATTGTTAGTCAATTTTAATCACATTTTGAAAAATACAAAAAGTACCCCCTTTGTGGATCAACTTTTCTCTCCTTCTCCAGTTCCAGAAACTAAACAATCAAACCAAGAATTCTGAAAATTAGAAAAACCCAGTTGGTTTTTTTTTTTTTTCCCTTTTCTCTCTCTCTCGGGTTTTCTGTTTATTTGGTTTTTGAGACAGGGTCTTACTATTTTGCAAAGACCTGCCTCAAACTTCTGGACTCAAGCACTCTCTTGCCTCAGCCCAAGTAGCTGAGACTATAGTTCACACCACTGCAGCTTGCTGAACTGCAGGTTTTTAATTAGGACAAATTTACAGTTCTTACTAGAATTGCTATTGTTCGCAGGGAAGAAAGCACATAATTTAAGAATAGTTCAACACTCATTATATAAATACCTAATGTGTACTGGCTGGAGATAAAGATTTTTTGGAGATATACCCAAGGTAATTTGCAAGATCTTTTCATTAAACAAATACATTTTTTTTTTCAGGTGTAGGAGTTCAAAAGTAACAACAATAATAACAGAGAAAGAAAATCCCCTGAACGGTATCTCTGACTTCTTCTAATTAACACTATCTTATAAAGCATATTAAAAGTTTGATGTTACTCGTAAAGATAAAATAAATCATCAGTTATTCTTCTAAAGTTGAAATACAATCATTGATACTTGGTGTTTTGCATTCTCTGGCTTAAAGGCCTCCTTGGCTTATTATATAATTGTGGGCAATCATTCCAGACATTTTTAAGTTGCACAAATGGTCAAATAAAGTTTTAAAAAAATGCTAATCCCTTTCCAATTTTGACTTTACTAAATTTAGTAAACTTTCTGGTCTTGGGAGGCACATTCTGAATATACACAAGGCTTTATTGGCTTATGGTCAATTTATAAACACACACTAGTCAGAAGCATGCAGCTGCAGAGATCATTCTCAGAGCCTAATCATCTACTAGTAAATCTAAATGACTTCCACAATTGAACTGGGTTGGCTTCATGACTTAAAAAATAAATGTCTGATTGCGAATGCTTTAAAACTAAAATGAACTGTTGAGGCAACAAAGCTAAATTTCAGCTCTAGACTTTCAGATGCAGACCACTAACACATGAAAACCTTACTCCATTCGTTCTCACAGTCAGTCATGTAGACACAGTACTCACTCCTTCTCCTGTGGGGATTTGCCCGTTGATGTTAAGTGTCCGGAACGGGGAATGAGTAGACAAGCGTTTATCCCATTCGCTGGGCCGTGGTTCTGGCACAGACTCCATGAAGTTCTTTTTCAGCTCACTAATGCTGGCATGATGTTTTTTGATCTCTTCTTGACTTTTGTCCAAATCCTACAGCAGGAAGGACAAAGATGCAAAACAATAAATAACTGGGACAAAAAAATACACCAAAGGCAACCCAACAGAGACTGGGCGCTGGTAGAAAACACACCACATCCAGGATAGATGTTACTAACCCACAAATGACATTCAAATTGTAAATATACAACATGGTATATTTGCTTGATTTTTTTTTTTAATTTAAAAGCAAGGTGCTTTTCTTAGAAGCAGTGAAGCATCACAACCCTACAACTTTAGCTATTTCATAACCCCAAGAGTTCACTCCTTCATTTTATGACTCTTCTTCCTAACATGATGTAAAACCAGATCTCCAGCTCCGCATCCCAAGAAGGTAATCCCACAATTCAGCTAGCCTCAGCTTGATAAGAAATGATTTAGGCTCAGCTCAGGCAGGATGGAGATAGCAACAGATAAACTGTTAAATGAAGGACAGGGTGAAAGATTCCACTTCCCACTAACAACTGTGCCCTGGCGAGTTACCATCAAATAGTATCCTATTTGTAATGGAGATAGTTTTACTACTGTACTACTAAAAAGCTGTTCTTTCTTTTTGATAAACTGGAATAGCCCTTTTTAAATATAAGAATTTATTACTAAAATTCCTAGTTAAAGCTTCCAAAATCGATTGTTATTACCTCTGAAAAATTGCTCAGGAGTATGAGCATAATGGTTTTTCTTCTTTATGAATATTATAAAGAATATTGGGGCTGGGATTGTGGCTCAGTGGTAGAGCACTCGCCTAGCACGGGCAGGACCCAGGTTCAATCCTCAGCACCACATAAAAAAATAAAGGCATTGTGTTGTGTCCATCTAAAAAATAAAAAAGAATATCAGCTTCCAGTTTCTTTTTTATTATTATTTTTATTTTTTGTAGTTGTAGATGGATAGCATGCCTTTTTAAAAAAATTTGCTTATTTTTAATGTGGTGCTAAGGATCTAACCCAGTGCCTCACACATGCCAGGCAAGTGCTCTGCCACTAGGCTACAGCTCCAGCCCTTATGTTTCCAGTTTCTAACAGTTTCACATCAATCCTTAGTATGATTTGAAATAGAGACATTCTAGGGCTGAGGACATAAGCTCAGTGGTAGGGCACTTGCCAGGCATGTGCAAGGTCCTGGGTTTGATCCTTAATACCTTACATACACACACAAAAAAAACCTTTCTTCCAATAACTTTCACTGGATTGGAAAGGACCATAAGAGTTTGTCAAATACCTTATATATCTCCTTGACAATTTAAAATAATTCAACTGTTCCAGCAGATTTGGATACTGGGCAACTAGAGGTAGAGGCAAGCTCTTTAAAGGAATATTCCAGGAAGAAATGATCAAAACTAATGTTAATAAAGCATGGGCTAGAAATATTCAGACTTATTTAAAATAAGTATATGATAACTTTCAAAAAGGACACTTCACCAAAAAATAGGTTGGTAAATATAACTTGAAGACAAAGACTCAAATGTTCTTTGTCCAAAAAACCTCAATAGTTTGAGCTTGAGATCACAATATTTGGAGCCCATCACTTTATGACTGTAAAAAATCCTGTGTTTATCAGGGCAGTTCTGTAGCCAAGGAAAGTATAATGCTAAATATATCTCATAATATGCTGTATGAATTTTGGGATTAGTCTTTCTTTTTTGGCTCTGTTGGAGATAGCTTCATTCTAAAAGAAAAAAGAAAACTAATTTAAATAAAAATTAGTTTTAAAATGTTCTTTCTAAGGGCAATATGTGCTTCAACTAAATAAAACTTTTTTCAAAAGCAATATAAGAGGAAAAAAAATAGCATAGGAAAAAGAACCAGTGAGACACATGAAAACAATTTTTGTTTGTTTATAGTACTGAGGTTGGAATGCAGGGGTTCTCTGTACCACTGTGGTACATCTCCAGTCCTAAGAAAACTTTTTTGGTGGTGCTGGGGATGAACAAATGGCCTTGAATATGCCAGGCAAGCACTCCACCACTGTGCTATACTCCCAGCCCACATGACAATTTTGATTCTGGATGTATTCATTCAAAAAATTCATTTTCTAGTTCCTTATTTTTGCAAGAATGACCTATGTATATTTGCTTTGAGATGAGCCAAAGAAAAAACTAAACAAAAAAGGCAACCCCGTAGTTTCCCTGTAGAGCCATCTCTTGCTTACTGGGATGAAATGAGAGTCTATTGTGTGAATATGGGTTGCACTAAGGGGAAACAGCAGTTTGCACTTTTGCTCTAGCTGAAAGGAAGGAAAGAGTGTTCACTAGCTAAAGAAAAGCTTAAACAAGCTCACTCAAAGATCAGGGTTGGGCCCTGTGTCCCGGCTCCTGAGTGGAAATTAAATCTGTTTGGGCCAAGAAAAACTCAGCACATTCGAGGGGTTAAACGTGTGAATGGAGCAAAATAAAAATGAGCAAGAGATGCGATGGTAAAATCACAACTCTCTGAGCTAGCTCTTAATATGAGTGACTGGTGATTTGTTACTCTTCTTGCCTAGCTTTTGATTGGCTTGCAACCTGAGAAAATAATTTTTTTTTTTATAAAACCAGGAGCTTCTGAGGAAGCTTTCTCCATCCTTCTTAGCTGGCTTTGCTGAAAACCTGTGGGGGCACAGAAGTATAAAATTAAGATCTCAAAGGGACCTGTTCCAAATAGAACCTGTCATAGATATTTGCTACAGGTTCTCTCTGGGAGATGGAGGAGGAGGCGGTAGATCTAAAAATGAACTCGACCTTATTTGTGCCAGAACAAAGCATTAGTGGGGGTGGGGTAGGAGAAGGGGGGAAGAGGGATGCTTAAAAAAAAAAATGCTAAGGTGACAGATAACTTGAGAGACCTTCCTTGTGGGGAGGCACTTTTTATAATAACTAAAGAATGATGGTCAGTCAAATTATTTTGGCTGTGTTTAGGTTAGACGATTTTTGATGCCTATCATCTTATCATTTTAGTAGCAATCAAACCAAACATTTCATTAAATATAAAATGTTCTCCAAAGTCAGTTAGTAGTTTTAATTTTCAAACACACTTATTTATAAATCCCCTCTCATGGCTGTCAGTGAAATGCCAGGGGAAAAAGCACACCACACACAGGGACTTCATGAGTCTCAGAAGCCATAACACACCTGATAGAATAGTTGACAAATATATGATTGGTACTGTAGGTTCCAGTTAAGAGGAAGCACCGAAGATGGACTAGTCAGGAAATATATTTAGGGTCTGGAGATGTCACATTGCTGAGCCAAGGACAGCAACTGCCATTTATTTTCCTTCCTAATCTCAGAAGACAGAATGTTTCAGGTGTAGTCTCAGATATGGGCTAAAATAAAGTGATCTAGTTTCCAAGTCTGAAATATCCAAGAGTCCTTGGAAAAATTCATGTTGTAAGAGACAAATGGATGTAAAGCACTCGGTACTATGCCTACCACACAGTATATGTTGAATGAAGGCTGACCATAATTTTCATTACTTTAATCAGAGTACCTTATAAATAGCAGGTGCTATATCAAAATATAGGTATTGGCAAAAAGTGGGATTAAATAATTATTAGAATCCCATATATTAAACAGAGATCTGTCTTTTAAAGTTACTTAAAACTTCCAGTTTAATAATATTTACATTTTTGTTCATCTTTTGGGTCCTAATTAAAATATTATCTTTAGAGAGACCTCCCCTGTCCATTGTTCCTTTGTTAGCACAGCATACTGTTTATTTCCTATGCAGAGTCTACAATAACTTATAATCATTTATTGCTATTTACTAACTTTTTGTTTCTTTCCTCACCAGTTTACACATTATAAGCTTCCTGAAGACAGGAATCATGTTTATTCATCTTCCTGTAATTTACAGTTCCTTTATAGTTAAGTTAAATACCCCTGATGTAAGAGTTCACACTCATCTCTCATGGTTCTGCACTGAGTGGAGCTGTAGAATAATCTGGTCATCTATACAAGAGTTTTTCTGAAGTATAAACTAACTTGATTTCAGGTTTTTCCACATGGAACAATCTAGTTTTCTAACTTTTTTCTCATAAACTTTCCTTTACCTAATTAGTTTTACATTTTCCTACCCAACATGGAGCCCAAAACTAGATAAAGTATAATAATACAGGTCTGGTAACAATCTGGCCAATGTGGAACATAGTAGGAAAATCACCTTATAATTCCTGTAGCAGACAGGAATTAAATAGTGCAATTTAATAGTTGTGTAATCCCTAATTCAGATCCTACCTTTTCCAATTTATCAGCTATGCTTGTTTTCACATCTTTATTTATTTATTTATTTTAAAAAAATATTTATATTTTTTTAGTTTTCTAGGTGGACACAATATATTTTATATTCATGTGGTGCTGAGGATCGAACCTAGTGCTTCATGCATGCTAGGCGAGCACTTTACCACTGACTCACAACCCTAGCCCCTTGTTTTCACATCTTAAATAAAAATCCCACACTTCCAGTCTTGTTTTTTCAAGATGAAATCATCTTATAGTAACTACATTAAATGTTAGGCTCCCTTCTGTCATCCTTATATTTTACTCCCCCACCTACATCCCTGGCCCATCCCATCTTCATTTTTTTTTTTTTCTTTCGGTGCTGGAGATTGAACCTAGAGCCTCTCTCATGCTAGGTAAGTGCTCTGCCACTGGGCTACACTCCCAATATTTTAAGTCCATTCTGAATTGTGATAATTTTTCTTACTTTTTCACACTGCCTTGGTTCAGAAAATGAAAACTGCAATTTGCTTCTTGGAATATATAGAAATTTATACTCTTGGAAAATTCAAGGAACTTTAAGCAGTGATGTAGAACTTTCTGAAATATGGGTAAAATAATGGAACCATGACTACCAGAGGTAGTCCCAATCATATATTTTTTTTTAGATAGCATGAGAGATGGAAACTAAAAATAACCAGGAGAGACGGTTGCATATCTTCATGTTTACCAACATGCAAAAGCATTTTAAACCTAAAATCATTTCATGCAATGGCATGCAAAACCAAATGCAGCATAGAATGAAGAAAAGGGGGTCAGTAAAGAATGCAGAAGGTTCCAGGCAACCAACTGAAATAAGCTTCAAGTTCATACAAACCTCCAACATTAAATTGCTATGTCTGATATAAATGTTTTCACCATCTAGTCTCTCTCTCTTTTTCTGTGAAAATGAAAGGGGGGAAAAACAGAAAAGCATAAAAAATTAAAAAGTTGTTCTTGCAGGAAAAAACTGCAAATTGGCAAACCAAAAAAAATACGTAAATTAAATGTCTGCAGCACAGCATATGCCAACATGAAATGGTCACAGAACCACAAGGACACACGGAGAACATGATTACCACTGGAAGATGGATGACCTTATTGATGAATGATGAGAGACTGTGATGACGTTATTTAAATAGACAGTGTTCCTGGCTTCATTGGCTTCTTAGGTAATAAGCTGTTACATGTTCATTTTTGAAACTGAACTGTTTGAACATTACCCTAAAACAATATATAACTTTGAAAAGCTTTGAAATTCCAGGCACTATAGAGTGGAAAAATGATCTAAAACATTATTTAGCTTTTTGGAGGTATTTCATACTTAGTAATACTGTAGCATCTAGATCTCTAATATCTTTTATAAAAAAAGATCTAAGGGCATTTTATAATCAGCCAATAAATATATTCAGTAAGAACTGATTCATCTCTTCTGCAGCAGGGAGGAATGAGGCACACAACAGTCAAACATGTAGCTATTAACAACACTGGGAGCTGCTGCTATGATGCTTTTCATGATAAATATGTATAAAATATCACAAATGATTCCAAAAATGGGATGCCATTGTGGCATAGTTCTTATAAAGTTTGAATGTAAAAGATAGGTTTTATGAAATAACCTCACTGGTTATTTCATTTTGTTGAAAGAAAAAAGATATTTTAAGTTGAACAAAAATTTTTTTTTCCTGATACTGGGATTGAACCCAGGGATACTCTACCACTGAGCCACATCCCTACCCCTTTTTATTTTTTATTTTGAGACAGGATCTTGCTAAATTGTCCAGGCTGGGTTGAATTTGCCATAATCCTGCCTCTGCCTTGTAAATAGCTGGGATTACAGGTGTGCACCACCACATTGGACCAACAAAATCTTTAAAGAAAATAGTATAAGATTATAATTTCTTTGGTGGGTGTGTGTATGTTCTTTTTATTTTGTACTTTGAGATTAAGGTATCATCCCTAAGTTGTTTAGGGCTTCACTAAGTTGCTGAGGCTACCCTCAAACTTATGGTCCTCCTGCCTCAACTTCCCAAGCCATGGGAACTACAGGGTGTGTCACTACACTGGGCTATAACTGTCCTTTTAAAGTAAGTTCTGATTAAGAGAAATCAATGAAAAGAATGGATCACTGTCTTTTTAATGAATTGTAAGTCAGTACGGGTGAAATGGCAATGTAGCTTTGTGAAGGTGAACATGGCTAACCTTCCTCATTCTTATCAGATCTTCGGGTTTTTCTGCAAGCTTCTGTTTTGCCATAATTCAAAAAAGAAAAAAAATAACAAAATATTGGCTCATTGAAGTTTGTTTGAACCGTCAATCTATATTATTTTTAAGGAAAAGGGAGTGAGGGAGAAGAAAAAACTGAGGGAGTGGAGGGAAAAAGGAACAAGTGGCCTGTTGGCACAAACCTGTGTTTGGTCACCATTTGAGGTGGGTACTGTGACCTCGATGTGGGTTTTTTCCACCTACATTTAAGAAATAAAGTGGTAAAAACAGTATAGGTTAGTAGGTTTCCATGAATAGCATTGCTTCCAAACAAGCTGCATCGTTATGCTGGTTAGAAACAGGATGATGCAGTCTCAGGGCGGGTGTTAGGGGCACGTCTTCCTGGTGGTGGCAACGTGTTAGTTCACCACCATAGCTGTAAAGCTGACCAGGCCAAATGGACAATCAACCACATCACCAAAAGAGAAAATGCAGGTACTCACCCTATCAATGAAGGAAAACATTTTTGTACTATTTATTAAAAAAAACTACTCACTAAAAATAACTTAGGCTCATTTGATACTATAGTCATGTTTTTGTTTTGCCTTTTCTTTTTTATGATTAAAAAATAAATTTACAAATAAAAATATCATTTTATACATGATAGAAATAAAATTTTTATAGTTAAAACACATGTAATAACATGACACTGAACAGGTAATATGACGGATTTTGTTAGTTGATCAAAATATTTAAGGAGGCAATTTCACTCTTCAGTTTATTACACCACAAAACATCAAAATAAACATCCAAATTGTAACTGACACATGCAATTACTTCCAGGGTTGTTTTATAAATAACACACACAGGACTCAGCAGCAACACTCAGCTCTCCACCAGCTCTTCTCTAGGGGGTTATAGCTCATGTGTTTGGGGGAAGGGCAAGATTCATCCTCAATAGTGAAAAGAATAGTGAAGGTCTCCTGTGTAGCTTTGAAATACCTTTAGTAACAGTCATTTTATACACAGAAAATGAAGTACTTATTTAAAAAAAACACAGATACATTATTAAAAAGAAACATAATAGAGTGAGAACTGCCTAAAATATTGGATATTTCAAAATTAGAAAATGGATTTTTAATTAAAGGTTAAGTTAATCATTTTGTATCATTAAATTATTTTCTTTCTTCATCTTCTTCACCTACCACCCCCAATTCTGGGATTGTACCCAGGGATGCTCTACCTGAGCTACACTGCCAATCCTTTATTATTTTTGAGAAAGGGTCTTGCAAGGTGTCCAGGTTGGCCTCAACGTTTCTATCCTCCTGCCTCCTGGATGGCTGGGATCGAGGGTGTGTACCACAGAGCCCACCCGTGTCATTAAATTCTTTACAGAACCTCACCAACCTGTGGTTTTATATATTCTTTTTAATCATGCTAAGCAGCATTACCTTGGAATACAATGTCACTGTGTTACTTCCTCTAGGACTAAATGTAAAAATCAAAAGAATACCACACGTTGAAACATTGTCAAATCATAAGCACATCCAGCTATAGCACTTTTAAATTACCAGGGGTAATTAACAATTGGATTCTTTCTACTCTGAATATCAGCACACTTGCTATGTGGCTGTCAACAAGTTATTTCACTTGTCTGAACTTAAAGTTATCTTATTCACAAAATGAAGATAATGTCATCATAGAATTATATACACTTAGCAAAATAGCAGTATTAATTGTTTTATAAAGCATAAATTCCTCGTTTAAATATCTTTTTGTGTTCTCAGCAATCCAACAGCAGAAAATTGAGAGCTTCTACTTCAGTTTAAGAATTGAGGTCAAAAAACTAGGAGCAGTGGGACAACCTGTAGTTCCAGCTACTCAGGAGGCTGGCAGAAGGATCAACCTGAGCCCAGGAGTTTCAGGCTACCCTGGGCAACACCAGAAAAAGAATTGAGACCAAGTAGCAATAGTAGTTCTACTCATAACCCTATGGGGAACATTAAATGAGATAGAGATATACATGGGGGAGTGTTGCTTCCACAACTGCAGAACAGACTTTGTGGAAAGACTGGAAATGATAAAAAGCTAGCTCTGTCTGGCATCAAACTAGTGTTAGATAATGAAATTTTCACAAGTATAAAATTACTTTATTATTACTGTTGCTTTATATAATACATGTCTTCAAGTAACTGCCATAATTATTTTCTAACTGCTATAAATGAAATCAGCTCAGATTCACCCTTGATTCTGCCACTAGTACTGCAGTAATAGGCTATCAGAAGTGGTTTTCAGTTTCATTTCAACATTCCACACGAGCATTTTCAAAACACATATTTATATAGAATTAAGTGGAAATAAGACCCCCCTCGCCCTGGCCTTTAGCACTTAAAGTAATATACCATGGAGTGTTTTTGTCATTTTACTGGAGGTCCCAAGAGCAACAGGAACCTGTTTTTTTTTAATTAAAGCATTATAGTTATGCATAGGAGTTATATCATCATAGGAGTTATATATATCACTTTATATATGCATGGAATTTGATTTACTACATTTCAGTCCCCGTTCCCTCCACTTCTCTTCCCTTTCCCTCTTCTCTTTCCTCTACTATCTTCCTTTCACTCATTTATCTTTGTATTTTTTAGTTGTAAATTGACATAATACCTTTATTTTATTTATTTATTTTTATGTGGTGCTGAGGCTCAAACCCAGTGCCTCACATATGTCAGGCAAGTGCTTTGCCACTGAGCCACAACCCCAGTCTTCATTGGTTTATTTTTGATTGGTGCTTTCTACATATACAAAAGGGTGAAATTCCCTGTGTGTGTGTGTGTATATATGTACATAACGTGATTTTGTTAAATTCCTTCCACATTTCCTCCCCATTCCTGTTCCTTCTTCTGCTCCATTGATCTTCCCTATGTCTTTATGATATTTGATCCTCCAAAAAGAGAACCTATTTTTAAAGATAACTTGTCTCTCTTACAGACAAAAGGAGAACAGCAGGTCAGCAGAGAGCCAGAGAACAGTTAGCCAGATGGAAGAGTCCCCTGACTACTCCCACAACCCAACAGGTTCTAGTTAATGTAAGAACAGAGGCATAGTGAACAGTGCCAGGTGATATACCCTAACATTAAAAACTGAGCAGGTAGGCTAACATTAGAAAAGCATTGTTTACTTGGAACCTAATGACCAATAATGTCATGGACATTTGGCTAGCTACAAAAATGACAACACTCACCCTTCACTAGAGTTTTTATTCTCTCTGAACTCAGGATAGTCTTAAAAGTACAGTAAAGATGTATGTCATATTTTTTTAATATAGTTGAAACAGAATCAGATTGCCCACTGTTATATAGATAAATTAGATATTGATCTGGCTCCAAAAGAACAGGATTAATCCATATGCAATCAATGAAATCTTAGTTTAAAATTTTTAAACACTATCTAAAATGTAATTCTTCTCATGAATGACATTTTTCTTACGAGACTGCTTCTCATAATTTTTGTTGGTCACATTTAATTTTAGAAACCTGAACTAGCACCTCAACTCCATCACTGCTTAAATATGTTTAAAAACTTATAAACATGTATATATTTTTAAAGCCCAGTAACTATTACTTCTGGGAAAATTGCTAATTAAATTGTTGATTTTTCAACTTGGTGCACTGACTATGGGTACAATCAACTCAGAATTGAAGCAACTAGCAGCCTAACCTCTCCCACATAATGGATGTTCCCCTTCTTATTAGCTGCTTACAATTTAAACAACCACATAAATGTGCTTTCTGTAATACCCAGTCTTTTGAAATGTTGCACATACATCCATCTTAGGAATCAAATTATATTTTAATTACAATAGCAGAGCTCACTCCTAAGTAAGGTGGAGATTCCTTTTGAGTGAGTGAAAAATATTTTAAAAAGCAATCAACCAAGCTGGTGTGTTTTATAATCCCAATTTTCTAATATTAAATTGGGTCAAGGGGTGGATCACCTGAAAACTTCTGGGATAGCTTATAGTCTTTATAACATAATTTAGGAAAATATGTTATAGGTTCATGAGAGATGACATCTTTCAGAAAGACAAGACTCTGTTTCTTTTTTTTTTTTTTTTAAAGAGAGAGAGAGAGAGGAGAGAGAGAGAGAGAATTTTTAATATTTATTTTTTTTTAGTTCTCGGCGGACACAACATCTTTGTTGGTATGTGGTGCTGAGGATCGAACCCGGGTCGCACGCATGCCAGGTGAGCGCGCTACCGCTTGAGCCACATCCCCAGCCCAAGACTCTGTTTCTTTGAAAACTTTCCTGGTTAAGGAGTTGAGACCTCTAAATCAGAAAGTGAATTGGCTTGATATGTGGATTGACGTACCTTCCATGCTTCTGTGGGCTCTGGCTCAGCTTGCTCCGGTGGCTCCTCTTCTCTTTTCCCTTCAACCTTCACTGTTTCCTTCGGTGTTTTTTTGGCAGATGCCTCTGGGCCGTTGCCCTCAGTGACTTGACTCTGAGCAATGGCTGGTGCAGAGGTGGGCCGAGGACTTCGGTCTGCTGAATCAGCAGCTGCTGCTGTGTGAGAAGGGGAAAAGGGAAGAATAAGTGAGTCCAGAGCCACCATACTACTTTAAGGACACCGGGCCAAATAACTCTGCATCCAGGACAGTGTGTGAATGTTACAGTCTAGTGACCTACCGCACAGAAGGCAAACAATCATATCTCGTTCTGAGGGGCAAAAAGATAGCTGAAGATACCCTCACCAGAAATGTGAAAATGTATTCACAATCCTGTTTCACAAAAGCTAAATTCAAAAAGGAAAAAGATAAAGTAAGAAAAAAAATGGAAAACCTGTTAATCTTCAATGTTGTCTATGGAGGAGAAAAAAAGGATTAAGTCTAGTTTCCTCTATGAAGCCTTTTAAAAATACTGTTTATTTTTAGGTAGTTTCAGGAACCTAAAAAATACTGTATCTAGGAAAAAATATTGTGTCTGATTTTTTCTGTGAAGTCTCCCTGTAATGATAAATGGCTCTTCTGATAAGATATTACTACTTTTTTTTAAGAGAGAGAGAGAATTTTTTAATATTTATTGTTTGGTTTTTGGCAGATACAACATCTTTATTTGTACGTGGTGCTGAGGATCGAACCCAGGGCCACTCGCATGCCAAGTGAGCGTGCTACCGCTTGAGCCACATCCCCAGCCCAAAATTACTACTTTTTGATACTTGTAAGGGCAACTCTTTGAACTAGATGCTTTCCCTTTTAATAATAAATCATTTTACTAAAATAATATTGATTCAAAATGTATGGTCTTCAGTCATAAAAACAAAACAAACACCTTTTGCATTCTGTCCCACCCCATCCCAGAGTCCTATCAATGTGTGCTACAGCTTCTATTCTCTAAAACATTTAGAGCAGTGGTTCTCAACCAGGGCTTATTTTGTCCCCAGAGAACATCTGGCAATGTCTGCAGACATTCTAGGTCTTTACATCTTGGGAGAGCAGAGAAAGTAGGTACTGACATGTAGTGTATAGAGGCCAAGATTGAGAAACCTTGATTTAGGGAAAAGATGTATAGATTGTTTTAGAGAGAAAAAACAATATAAGTTAATGACAAACACTTGATCTTCTGTTGTATTGGTTTGGACTCTAACTTACTTCAGAGCAATCACTTGGGGTTGGGGATAGAGCTCAGTGGTAGAGCATTTGCCCCTGGGTTCGATCCCCAGGGAGAAGAAGAAAGAAAAGAAATAAAGAAATAGTCATTCATATACTATTTGTGGTTTTTATTTTCATTCTTTTAAGGATTAAAAAAAATTATCTCTGCATGTTACAGTAAACCTTACTAATCTGACATTGTCTAGGAATGAAGGTATTTGTTAACATGATTTAATATTTGTTCTTTTGTAGTACTCTGGGGATTGAACCCAGGGCCTCTCACATGTTAGGCGAGTGTTCCACCTCCGCTCAGCTATATCCCCAGCCCTTTATTTAATTTTATTTTGAGATTCTCTTGAATTATATTATATTCAGCTTAAGTAGCTGGGATTACAGGCATGCACCATTGAGCCCAGCTATGATTTAATAGTCTAATAATATCATTATTCTTTAAAAAATTTTTTAATTGTAGATGGACACAATACCTTTATTTATTTACTTATTTTTATGTGGTGCTGCGGATCAAATCTCATATGTGTGAGGCAAGCACTCTGCCACTAAGCCACAATCCCAGCCCTCATTATTCTTTCTTATACTGAAACTTTTTAATTTTATTTTTCATGGAAATCTTAAAATGTTTATTACACATTTTCTTTCCTTAAACTGACTATACTGTATATAACCTATTTTAACACATTTAGATTTATAAGATGCAAAATTTAAGTAAAACAAAGTACTTCCTTAAACCAGAATGAATTAATAAATTGAAATTTACAATTACTTCCTATATACAACACCAAGAAAGAAATGCTTATTACTCAATGAACAAACTGTGGCCTCTTGCAAGTCTCTGATACACATGGGTGCTCTAAACCAGTCAACGCAAGAATGGCAGATGGCAGACCAAGCCTAACAAAACAGGGGAATGTGACAAAATATTTTGCTCACAGTTGTGTTAAAGTATCATTATACATGTGTATTCACACCTCCTCTCAAAGAATTAATTCAACTCTGCTTGGCATCACAGAAACATAGCCCATGCTCTCACCATGTGTTATTTTGCCACTTGAATTTGGTTTTAATCCAATACTAATATTGCAGAGCCAAATGATTTGTCTTTAGCATTCCTAGCCTTGGAAATCTGTACTGTATGTGGAAGTGTAGGTATAAATGTAAAGACTGAGGGTTAGAAACAAAGGTGGAAACAGTTAAGAATAGGAAAAATAGAAGCATTACAATGAACAGCACTGATTGTGAAAAGGCAGTATGGAATAGGGCAAAGACCAAATCATGAGTCTTCAGCCCAAACTTATGTTAGTCACACACAGTAATGTGACCTAGATCAAGGAACCTAATTTTTCAAACCTCAGTATTAACATTCATAAAATGTGGAAGATATTAACTCTATAGGATAGTTGGGGAAGGGGTACTCAAGGGCTACAAACACATTTTATGAACTCTAAATATTAATAACTTCTAATATTATACTTGTCCTTATATTTCTCTTGTCATGGGTTAATGTTTTAAGAGTAAGTTGGGCAAAAACTATGCAAATACTGATATGAAATTCAAAGAAAAGATATCACCTGGGAGTCCTGAAGAGAGGCAAATTTCTTTCATTTTCTCAATAAGAAGATTGCAAACTATGGATCATGATAAAATATCATAGTGGTGATTTTTAAAACAGCTTTATTGAGATGTTTTGGTGTGAGACTAAGGATATGGCTCAGTAAAGTTCTTGCCCAGCATGTGTAAGGCCCTAGGTTCAATCCCCAGCACTGGAAAGGAAAAAAAAAAAAGAAGACATTTTGGCTCTTCAGTTTTATTAATTAATTTGTTACTATTCACGATTTTGGTACATATACAGAAAACCCTTAACTTTATTTTTTTCTATCTAATCAGTTTATATATGCGTGTAGAAAGCTCTTCGATTCACTGTACACAAATGGAGCAGAATTTTTAACCTCTCTGGTTGTACATGAAGTGGAGTAAGCCATTCATGCAATTATACATGTACCTAGGATAATGATATCCATCTCATTCCACCATCTTTCCTACCCCCATTGCCCTCTCCCCTCCTCCTTTGTCCCATCCAAAGTTATCCACTCATCCCAAGCTCCCCTCCCCCTTGTAATTAGCATTCACTTACCAGAGAAAACATTCACCCCGAGAAAACCCTTAAGTTAAAATATTCAATAGTTCCCATTTCTGAAGGTCTAGACAAAGAAAAGTACAATGTCGATACTCTTACAGACCCACTAACTTCAGTTATTATATTGTTCTTGGCTGAGAACAATAGAAACTTGGTTATATACCAGAGCAATCAAGAGTAAAACTCAAAACCATCACACGGAGTAAATGGAAGCTTCTAGCTGCTACTTACTGGCACTATTTCTGCCAGTATGATACAGGTTCAGCAGGTGTACAGGGGATCAATGGTCCCATTATCAGAGGGCCCACATGAATCATCTACAGATCTTGAACAACAAACAAAAAATGAGCTGATACTCAGGTCCACTGCAAACAGACTGGTCATCCAACAGAGAGGCTTGGACATATATTTTGTACTAAAGTACCAAAGATGAAAAGAATGTACTTCCCTGGCAAGTACCATTTGGCAAGAATGAACTATCTGGTGGTGTGACCCTAGTAAGTTACATAACTTTTTGGTGCTCTAGTTTTCTCATGAATAAAACAAGAGTTCCTAAATACCTCTTGTTCACTGGGTTGCTAATATTAAATAGGAATACATGGAAATGGTTGGAAAAGCAAAAAGTGCAACAAGCTGAAAAATCCTTGTCGTATTATTAGCTATCTTTATGACTTAATACTCTATCTTAAAACTGGGATCTGAACCAGTTTTGTTCTCCAGCTGGTGAAGCAGATGCTCTGAGTACCAGACAAAACAGAAGAGAAAGAGTGCTCATTTGTATCATAAATTGAGGCCCCTTATAAAGTAATTCTTCTTAATGTTTCCCTAATATATTGTTTCTACTATCGAGGGTTATATTTTTTTTTAAAGGAGGGTGGACCCAATAGGAAAAAATTTTTAAGGAAGATGGAGAAAGATCTAGGAAAAGGTATGAAAAATAGTTTCAAAACAGTTTCCAAGAAGATAGCACAGAAAAAAAGAATATCTATGAAAATAGAACCATAAAAATTTTCTGTAAGGTTGGGGTTGTGGCTCAGTGGTAGAGCACTTGCCTAGCATGCATGAGGCACTGGGTTCGATCCTTAGCACCACATAAAAAATAAATAAAATAAAGGTAGGGCTGGGGATGTGGCTCAAGCGGTAGCCTGCTCGCCTTGCATGCGTGCGGCCCGGGTCCAATCCTCAGCACCACAAAGATGTTGTGTCCGCTGAAAACTAAAAAATTATAAATAAATAAATATTTGAAAAAAAATAAAGGTATTGTGTCAATCTACAACTAAAAAATTTTAAAAAAAAATTTTTTCTCTACTGTTTATATGCAGTTCAAATACTTACAAGATATGTAAAGTGCTTAAAATAATGCCCATAACATACTGAATGCTCAATGAATACTATTAACAACTACTTACTTTCTCCTTTCTTCCTTTCTTTTTAATATTTTTTAGTCATTGATGGGCTTTATTTTGCTTATTTTTTTATGTGGTGCTAAGAGTCCAACCCAGGGCCTCGCACATGCTAGGCAAGTGCTCTTCCACTTAGCTGCAACCCCAGTCCACTTTCTCCTTTCTTAAAAGAAACAGTGTCACCATGGTGACAGAGTAAAAAGCACATGTTTGGGAGAATAGTCCTACCTCCTACTTCTAGTTCTGACTATCTTTGTGACCTTAGACAAGTCGCTTAAATTCTCAGGTTAAGTTGTAAGAACAACAAACATCAACAGATAAGTATTTCAAGAGATTAGAGGGGCTGGGGATGTGGCTCAAGCGGTAGCGCGCTCTCCTGGCATGCGTGCGGCCCTGGTTCGATCCTCAGCACCACATACCAACAAAGATGTTGTGTCCGCCCAGAACTAAAAAATAAATATTAAAAATTCTCTCCCCCCCCTCTCTCTCTTAAAAAAAAAAAGAGATTAGAGAAAGAACAGCTCAATGAAAATGTAATGCAAATAATAAAGGTATGAGCTGGCATAAATTAAACTTAAAATACACACTGAAATAAAACCTAATGTTAATTATTTGAAAAGGTTAACAAAATTAACGAATCTCTAGCAAGACTGTGGGGGAAGTGGAGAGAAAAAAGGAGCATAACTTTCTAATATCTAGAATGCAAAAACACTGCTACAGGTCATATAGATATTAAAGATATTCAACTTTGTGTCAATAAATTTGAAAATTAGATGGAATAGACAATCCCTAGAAAAACACAATTTACCAAAACTGAAATAAGAACCAGAACATTGTAATAGTCTCTTACCTAATAAAGACACTAAATCTGCCAGTAAAGAACCCTCCCACACAGAGAAAAAGAAAACAGAACTATAAAATTTTTCTCTACTGTTTATATGCAATTCAGATACTTAAAAGATATGTAAAGGACTAGGACTACATAGCTTCATTGGTGAATTCTTCCAAATATTAAAGAAGAAATAACACCAATCTTACACAAACTCTTTCAGAGAATAGGAAAAGTGGGAATCCATCCTCAGCTTATTTTATGAGGCCAGCATAAAAGTGATATTAAAACCTGATCATGAGCTAGGGCTGTAGCTCAGTGGCAGAGCACTTGCCTAGCATGCATGAGGCAATGGGTTCTATCCTCAGCACCACATAAAAATAAAAAACAAATAAAGGCATTCTAAAAAAATTTAAAAACCTGGTCATAACATTATAAGAAAGAAAAATTATATGCCCATTTCTCTTTTGAAAATATTATTATCTCTTAACATCCATATGAAATTGATTCTAGGACTCTCCTAGGAGAGTCAAGTCCCTTTTTTTTTTTTTTTTTTTTTTAGAGAGAGTGAGAGAGGAGAGAGAGAGAGAGAATTTTTAATATTTATTTTTTTTAGTTCTCGGCGGACACAACATCTTTGTTGGTATGTGGTGCTGAGGATCGAACCCGGGCCGCACGCATGCCAGGCGAGTGCGCTACCGATTGAGCCACATCCCCAGCCCCTCCACCATATTCTTTAAATCATTCCTACATTATTTAAAATACATAATACAATTTAAGTATTATGTAATATATACTGTACTGTTTAGGGAATAATAAGAAAAAATCTGTAATACATTCAGCTTAGATAAAAAGTTGTTTTTGTTTTTTTCCCAAATAATTTCACAGATGCAGAACCTGAAGGTATGGAGAGCTGATTACAATTGTAAAAATTCTAAAATGATATAAAAACCATATCATGACCAAATTGAGTTTATTTTTTTAAAATATTTATTTTTTTAGCTTTAAGTGAACACAATATCTTTATTTTATTTTTATGTGGTGCTGAGGATCGAACCCAGTGCCTCATGCATGCCATGTTACTACTTGAGCCATATCCGCAGCCCCCCAAATTGAGTTTAATCCAAGAATGCTTGGTGGGTTTAAAGACTGAAAGTCAAGGCAATCCACATATATCATAAAAAGGAAAAAAATCACTTTATTATATCAATTAAGTAAAAAGTATCTGGTAAAAGTCAATACTAATTCATGGTAAAAACTTTTAGAAAACTAGGAATGAAAAAAAAAAACTTCCTTATGTGATAGAGTATAGCTACTCAAAACCTAGAGCAAACATCATACTCGGTGATGAAATACTGCAACTCTCTCCCTGAGATTAGGAATGAGACAAGAATGCTAATCACTAATTTTTATTCAGCATTACGTTGGCTGTCCTAGCTAGCAACAAAGCAATTAAAGAAATTAAAAGAAGATTCCAGATAGATTATTTATCTAAATATGAAATGCAAACAGCATAAGTTTTAGAAGAAAATATTGGACAAGGTAACTTACTTGACAAGGAAGGAGATGCCTGATGGTGTTAGATGAGTATGGCAAAGACACCAAGACTGAGTGACTCCAAGCCAGAAATCTTGGATTTCTATATTCCCGACTCTGCTCCTCTACCAGTGTGTCCCATTCCATTAAATGATCAAGCCCAGGAATAAAACTCGATTTTCTTTTCCTTACCACGTCAAGTATTTATCAGCAATTCTGTCAGCCCTGCCTCCAAGGTGTATCCCTGACCACTTTTCTCTGTCTTTGTTCCCAGTACCAGGGCCAAGCTCTCAACTTCTCACCTAGATCCTGCATCAGCATTCACCCTGCTTCTGGATCTACTCTCACTTCCATGGAGTCTTCACCCCAAGTTCTGAGTAATCTTGTTCAAAAAGGATTTCAAATTATAACACTCCCTCTGGAAGCTTCCTTCTGCAAGTAAAATAAAATCGAAACTCCTACTGTGTGTGGCCCACGCCTACTTCTCTGACTATTCTTATCTTCTATTCCTTTTCCCTTTGTTCACTAGAATCTAGACCTGTGCTTGCAATATGAGAGCTACTAACCACATGTGGCTATTTAAATTTATATCTAATTAAAATTTGGTTCCTCAGTTGCATAATCACATTTCAAGTTCATATGTATTATACACACACACACACACACACACATACACACACACACACACACACTTTTTTTTTTGAGTTGTAGTTAGACATAGTACCTTTATTTTATTTATTTATTTTTAATGTGGTGCTGAGAATGGAACCCAGCGCCTCACATGTGCTAGGCCAAACCTTAGCCCCACATTTCAAGTTCTTAATGGCCACGTTGGACATCACAAAATAGAAGATTTCTGTTATGCTTTATATCAGGAATGTCCCCCAAAGGCCCAGGTATTGAAGCTCTGGTCTCCTGCTGGTTGGTACTAATGGAAGGTGATAGAAACTTGAGAAGGTAGGACCTAGGTTGGAGGAGGTGGGTCAATGGGGGCATGCCTTTGAAAGCTATATTTTGTCCCAGGCTCCCTTCTCTCTGCTCCAGGCTGCCATGAGGTGAGCAAGGCCACACATTCTCACCACCATGACAGTTTGCCTCACCTCAGGCCCAAAGTAATGGAGCCAGCCCACCCTTGGACTGAAACCTGAGCCAAAATACACCTTAGCCTCTCTGTCAGGTATTTTATCACAGGGACAGAAAGGTGACTAATAGAATTTTCATCAGCAAAAAAAGTTCTGTGGGGCATCACTGATCTAGACACACCAGCCTCATTCCTACTTGCAGCACTTTGTACTTGCCTCTCCTTTTTGTGGAATGCTCTTCCCCTAGATTTTGGGCAGGCTGGCTACTTCTCATAATTCAGGTCTCAAATGATACTCTTCAGGGGAACCTTCTAAATTTAGATTGGACTGCCCAATCTGAAATAGGTCCTCAATCCTCCCTGCCTTCACCCACTCTATCACTATCTAGCAGTGAAATCCTGATCTAGTCACTATTCTCTCTGAATTGCAGTCCCCTTTTCTTAAGATTCGTCCACTGAAATAGACGATTAGTAGGATACCTTCCATTCCACCACTAAGAATTTGTGCGCATCTGAGATAATTTGGTTCTCTTATAGATAACTGTGCTTCCTTTATCTCTCTCTAAGGAATTAGGATCACAAGAAATCATTAGTATTCAATACAGACCTCCATCGAGACTCCGGGATGCCCGTTTGCTTGCTGTGCGCTCGAAGTGTGGGGCAGGCCTGTCAATCAGAGCACTAGCTTGCCTGGTCTGAGCTTGAGTCCGGCCGCTATATCGAAATTTGGATCCCAGGGCAAGAAATTTGCTTTTGGGAATGGTGTCTGTAGATGTCAGTCTGAGAGAAAAATCATAACAATCACATATTATATAAATTATCTCATTCTGAAACTGTACAATTAAAAATAAGATCAAGAATAAAAAATGTTTCTCAATTTTAAGATGTAATTATAGTTATTAGGAGGTTTCAAATCATGCAATCGTTATTTCAGTTCCATGTCATGTCTCAAAGCAATCAGTATATTTAGTTGTTGCCTTCATTAATATCATCTTATATCTCTATAGATAGGGCCTTATGGTTTTCACTGCAATAATTTCACTATATCTTTGTAATATTGTCACCATTTTATAGATACAGGAAACTGAACCACCCAAAGGAAGTTATATGTATAAGGTCACATATCTGTTAAGGGACTGGGCAGTAACAAAGGCCAAGCCCAGGACTGTTAGCTACAGTTAGGGCAATCATAGAGCACCCAGTGAACACAGGATCCTATTCTCCACTTCCCTCCTCCTCCTACCACACAAAGAAAGGTGCTTTGGAAATGTTGAGGCACGCTTTTCAACCCAGAGCAGGGAAAGTGGATTCATTTTGTCTTGCTTAAGATGATCTCAGTAGAGCTAAACAAAAGTGCCAGTCATATAAAGGAGAGAATTTCAATAGCAGACTTAAAATAGAAACACACATACATAATTTATCCTTGAAAAATACTTAAGTGAGAACAATACCTGAAAAATGTGTGATGTTCTACACAGACTTTCCATAATTTCTTAGCTGCTCGGTAACTGGGAAGTTTGAATCCAATGGTACTTTCGTATTGTTCTTGCTATAGAAACACAAACAAGGAACATAAAGTATCATTTGACTATAGTAATACAGCACCAGAGAAATATGGTGCCACCAACGAGATCATTGTAAAATCAAATAATGTTATCAATTTAAGGACATAAAATATCATTTGAAATGTTTTCCTACTCACCAGAAGAAAGTCACTCCTGAGGATGTCCTTTTCCAAAGCAAGGAAGCCAAGAAATGCATATTATTCATGCATTTTATTTTTGTTCAGAAAACACACATGCATGCATATACACACAAACACAGGGCATTTTTCTGAGACATAATTAAGTCACATTTTGATTGTCTAGACATTGCTTTTCCTTAGTTATTATCTGTATTTGGGATATTAGATTATTCAAAGATAAGGGAATGAGATATAAAATAATTCTTCCATCAATCAATATTATTACCAATAATAATTAGTAATAATAACTAAAGATTTGGCTCAAATCAGATTAATTTAAAAAAATTAATTAAATTTTAGAATTGGCAAATAAAAATTGTATATATTTATTGTGTTCAGTATGCAAATATTGAACATGCTAAATCAGGCTATCAATATATGAATTAACACATAATTTTTTGTGATGAGAACCCTTAAAATCTAATCTATTAACAATATTTTAATTTTTTTGTTTGTGCTGGGTATTGAACCCAGGGCCTCATGCATGATAGTCATCTCTTAGCAATTTTCAAGAAGATAATACACTGAACTATAATGATTATGTTGTATAATTGGACTCTTAAGCTTATTCTCCAAATTCTCTAATTATTAAATGTTTATTCTTTTTCCCTTTTTCTGACCTTTAATTTATCTAGATACCTCTAACTGAAGCAAACCATATCCTACCAGGGCTACAAGAAACATGTTATTGGTCTCTTACTTCTCAGTTTCTCCCTTTAGCATACTTTATTAGATAGAAAAGGAAAGTGAAATTTGTTTTCAGTGCCTATCATTGCCAATAACACTATGATTAGACAGGATCAATTTTTACACTGAAGAAACTGAGTTCAGAGAAGTAATTTGCTCAGTCTCATAGTTATTAAATGGCAGAACCAGAATGTCACTTCTAAGTCAACAATAGTTATATTCCACTTCCAGAATCCCGTTTTTCCTGATTGCTTTCCTAAATAGGAATTCTGCATTTTTAGCACATAGTTGACAGAGACTGAGGCCTTCCTATTATCATATTTATTAATATATGTGTGTATTTAGTTTTGTTTTCCCACATTAAGATACAAGAATGTTGTCTTATTTACCATTAAATTGCAAAGAAAGCCCTAATAAATATTTGTTGGTTGACTGACTTTTGGATTTGAAACTTCAAGGGAAGACATTGGCTGCTTTGTGCTAGGCACAGATAAATAATTATAATACAAAATAAATGCTTCAATGATAATCCCTACCCAAGATTTTTAAGGCTGCATGTCTACAATTTCCAGGCTCAAAGAGTGAGCTATTTTTCGCCAGCAGATGGTGATATATAAACATACAAAAAGCGACCTTATGTCAGGCTGGTCCTTTTCTGTGTTGAGTTTTTACTGTTATCTCATTTGATGTTCAAATAAACTGGGACTGAGGAGGTATTATCCTTCTTGGATGATAAGGAAAGAGCCTTAGATTTATCCAGGGTCTTTTGTTAAGCAAGTGGAAGAGAAGGAACTAGAACTTTTTTTAAAAAAATTTAATTCCTACTTAAACAATTTGCTATTGCACCACGATAGCTCTTTTACAATTTAAAATTGGCCTGCATCAATCAGTACATCCTGAATTTTGGCTACCTATTATTAACTAAGTTGATCCAGTATTAAGCTGAACATACAACTCTATTAAAAAATCTAGGACTTATGCATCAGGCCCTGGGTTCAATCCCTAGTAGTAAATAAAAATAATCTAGAACTTGACCCTGGAACATATAGTAACATATGTATATATACACAAATAAATTGTAATTGTAGAAGGTAGGATATAAAACATTTAACTCCACCAAGTAATTTTAGAATCTCAAGCTACAGAATTTATAAATAGTTTCCCATGAAGTTCTTACCTGGAGTAAACAAGAAACAAGTTTACCAATCCAGGTTTTACTTTTGGCAATGGAATATTTACTTACAGGAATAAGAATGTCTGGAAAACCAGTAATAAGAAAAGAAGATTACAGGACTTAACAATTTAAGAAAACAGAAATATTGGCCCCCGACTAGTTAGTTAGACAGAGACTACTCACATGGCATAACAAGGAAAATGGCAATGAGGAGAAGTTTGGTTTAGGAAGAAAAAACATGAATTCTGTACCTCTCCAGGCCGGATCTTGATGAAAAAGCTGCTGCGTTTATAAGAAATCTTCAGTACTTTGGGCCAAGGAAAACGGTTAATTCTCAACTTATCTTTGTAAACCAAAAGGCCACTAGAGCAGACACCTAGGATGATATCCACTCCCTCCAAGTCCTGAAAAAGAAAAGTGTCAGCATTCAGTCTCGAGCAAAGTGTTCAGCACATCATTAACTATTATCAGATAATCGGAAGATATCAGCAACCAGAAACAGTTATGAAACATATCATGGAAAATAAAGTGTAACCTGACAATCATAATCCATATTGACAGATAAGAGTTCCCAGAGGCCAGAGTTTAGGGCTACGTGTACCACCTGGGGATATAACTCTCTCTCTTAACGACATGTTTGCACAATTCTAATTCTCTTTTGAAATGATACAGTGGTAATCCCTCCAGAAAATCAAGTTAAGATTTGACTCTATTCCTGTATAAACTCAACATATGAAAATCTCAGCTTCTTAAAATAACTGATGTTAAGTATATTAAATTATAAATATTATCCCTAAGGCTAGAAAGAACATTAAGGCAAAATGAAGTCATGTTTACATGCCTCTTTATTAAAGAAAAAATTTTAAATATTAATAATCAATGTAATTCAAGGAAAATGAATTTCATCTGAGTTAATTTCTACAGATGGCTATATTTAGCTAAATAATCAAAACCCAGGGTTAAATTCTTTTGAAAGGTGCGGGTAGGGGGTACCGGGCATTGAACGGGCATTGAACTCAGGGGCACTCCATCACTGAGCCACATTCCCGGCCCTATTTTTGTATTTTCTTTAGAGACAGGGTCTCACTGAGTTGCTTAGCGCCTCACTTTTGCTGAGGCTGGCTTTCGAACTCGTGATGCTCCTGCCTCAGCCTCTCAAGCCGCTGGGATTACAGGCGTGAGCCACTGCGCCTGGCCAGAGTTAAAGCTTTTTGACTCCTCTTTTTCCTACAATGAGTATAGAGAAAAATGTTAGTGCCTACATGTGTTATGTATAAGCATAACAGAGATGCAGAAATTGAATATAGTTTTAATTCAATGACTATGTGACTGAAAATTTACCTCAAGATGCCCTCTTAAGTTTTTAAAGCCTGGAGGTACAACTACCTTTCTCTCTCTTTTTTTTTTTTTTTAATATTTTTTTAGTTGTTGATAGACTTTTATTTTATTTATGTATATACAGTGCTGAGAATGGAACCCAGTGCCTCACACATGCCAGGCATGTGCACTACCGCTGAGCCCCAGCCCCAGCCCTATATCTCTCTTTTAATGACACGCTTTACAGAAACAGTTGCTTTACAACATTTGGAAAAGGAATTTGCTGCCTGACTTCTTCACACCTTGCTGACTGACACAAACCTTTTGCAGGAAATGAGAAGTTCTGGAAATATACCTTATCTGAAATACTGATATTTCCATTGTCTATTTTAGAAATTCACAGAAGTTATAGTACCCAGCCCCCCAAAAACCAGGACAACATCTGAATTTGAAATTAGAAGTAATTGAACTTAAGAAACTATCGATATTCAGGTTGAGAAAATCATGAAAGATTAGTCTAGTCAAATCACAGACCAGATGTCTGTCTCTTTTCTTAATTCCTACCAAGTGATTATTTGGCCTATCCTGGAATAACTTCAGTGACAGGGAACTCATCACTCTTTGAGTTAGCACATCTCATCTTTGAAAAGCTCTGCTAGATAATTTGTCAAACTGAACTGAACAACATATTTCCCTATAGTTTACATTTTACTATCTCTAGGCTTATATCTTAAAGCCATAGTAAAATCTATTTTACACATCACTCCTTTAAATTAACAGGAAGGTAGATATTATGTCTTCCCAGAACTTTCTCTTTTGTAGGATTAATATCCTTGTTCCTTTGTTTTTCATTGGACATGGTTTAGAGTCTCCTGATCATGCACACTAGTTAAGTTCCTCCAAAGGTGCATCTGAGCATCCCTTTGAGCCCTCTCCTTCATGATATCCTCAACCTCTCCAGCCATTTGAAGATGAGGGAAGTCAAGCGATTGCCTTAAGTAATCCCTCTCTTAGGCTGTATTAGGCAGAAGTAGGATTAAAGTTTAAGTTTCCAATGCCCTAACCTAGGGGTTTTCAATGAGCCACTGAAATGTATTCGGCGTACATTAGAATCCCCATCCCAGCTTCTGGTTCAATAAGTCTGGAATGGAACCCGAAAAATGCATCTGTGATGCTAAATGCTGCTGACTCAGGGACCACACTTTGAGAACCATTACCCTAAGCCAGTGGTTCTCAGGTTCAAGCTTGTATTAGATTCATTTGGAATGCTCATTAAATCTGGAGGTTCTAGAGCCTGTCCTCTGAAATAAGTCAGTAAACCTGAGAGAAGCTCTGGAATCTGTACAATTAGTAGACCTCTCAAGTGAGTTAGGTGATGTTGGCTGTGAGAAAAGCCTTGCTGCCACTGTGATTTTTCAAATGTAAATGCATTTTAGGAAAATATAATTTCTTTTTCTCTAGGTTGTATTTTTTTATTTTTTACAGTGCTTTAGTTGTAAAACTTTTTTCTGACAGTGGATTGCCAAGTGGCAATTCAACTGATATACTTAAAATTCAAAAAGAATTACTATTTGGGGCTAGGACTGGGGCTCAGCAGTAGCGCACTTGCCAGACATGTGTGAGGCACTGGGTTCAATTCTCAGCACTGCATATAAATAAATAAAATAAAGGTCTATCAACAACTTAAAAAAAAAGAATTACTATTTATTTTCAATGTTTTAAAATAGCCCAGATAAATGCTGGTGAAAAGTAACACAAGTGCAATTTACACATAGCAAACCTGCATCATCTAGTGCATATTAATAAAGGCCAGAGACACATTACCTTTGCTTTATGCAGATCGACACCATACATAGACAACTTTTTGGCATTCTCAAGAAATTCCAAGTCAGCCTGAGCTGGAGTCATGGATCTTTGATAAAATAAAAATAAAAATTCAGTGTCATAGTATCCACATTTACACTAATCACAGTTGTATCTTCATGATACTTCATATAAACACAATCATACACATGTCGACCAATATAATATGTATATAAAATAAATTTTATAGTCCATAAGTGGATTATTATAGAATGGAAATGTTTTCATAAAGAAAATGGTATCTTGAAAAAACAAAAAGACACTAAAAAAATACTGGAAAAAAAAATTGAAAACTCCCTACAATTTCCTTCAAATGACCTCATCCATCATTAGCTCTGTCCTCCCTCTCTTCATCCTTTTCTATCCCATACATAAATTCCTTCCACTAATTTTCTTGCCAAGGAGATGACCAAATTAAATCCTCAAGGGGCATGGGACAATTTACAAGATCCTCTTAGCTGCCTTTTTTCCCTCTATACTCCTGAATTGAGTTATTATGGAAATTAAACAAGAGGGCAGCTGATGTTACTTAACTGGGACTCTTAATGGGGCCAGGTTTAATGAAAAGAAAATTTCTGGTAACAGATGGTGTTCTGCCCACGGATCTAAACAAAATAAATTGGTTAATAGAAGCACACAGATAATGGGACTGTTTTCTGTTATTAAGATGTCTTCATTACCAGGCAAATAATGAATTAGATTTGTTTGAAAACAATCAGTCTCACGGTCTAAACATTCACTGTGTCGGTCTTTCCTTCTCTAGAAGTTTCTTTGCTTTTGGAAAGTGCTCACTGAGATTTGAAGACAAAGATATCATTCCCAACCCTGCACAATTCACACCAATCAAGAGTAACTTCTTAGTAACAATAATGCAGCCACATCTCAAAAAAAAAGAAAGAAAGAAAGAAAAGAAAAGAAAATGCCAGTTTCCCATAAGACTGCCTCAAGCTACAGAGAGCAGCAGGGGTCTCTTCATTTAACAAGGAAAAGTCTCTTCCAAACCCATCTGTCTTTACCCTCATTAAAAAGAACAAAGGATTCATTGGAACAACAACAACCAAAAAAGAAAACACACAGGAGAGAAGGATGCAGATTTGTTTTAACTCAGCCTCCCTAAATAAACTTTTTTCTACAAGCTCTAAAGCATCTCACCTAATTCTGTTTACTAATAGACTTAAAGTTGAAGATTAAAAAGGAAAAAAAAAAAAAAAAGGAAGAAAAATGGGAAAATTAACCCATATAAAAGTCTATATATTCAAGTAATTCAAAATATCTCAGGAAAGTTTTGTAATTGTAAATTACTTTTCCATATAAGTGATACACTTTTCTAGATAAGGTTACTCCCAGTTGTTTTATATTTTACTGTTATTATTAATACTAATGGGGTGAATTTTAGGAGTTTGAAGCTGGAAAGGAACTTGAAGGTAATGAGTTCAACATTTTCATTTTGCTGATAAAGAAAACAGACCCTGAAGGATTGCATGATTATGAATAGGCTGAAACACTTGGTTTGAAGCAGCAGGCTTAAGTCACACTACTTGGGCTAGAATCCTGGTTCCTGAACTTATGGGTGGTGAGCCATTGTCTCCCTCAATCTCCTCTATAAGGTAAGAATCACATTAATTTTGTTAGATAAATAAATGTGACTATTAGAATTAAATAATAGCTGTGAAACTGCTTTGTAAACTATTTATTTATTATTTTGCAACCTTAATTTTCTAATAGTATAGTATCCCATCTCTACATGGATTATAAAATTAAATTGAGAGAAATAATTTGGATCAGTTAAAGTTGAAGATCAATTTTAAACATTAAATGAAGCAATCATGACAAAAAATTCCCTATATTCACAATACCCCAGGGTTCAGTTTAATTTCTCTCTTTTCATAATTTGTATTTCTTTTTATCAACTCTCATTGCTGTCAGTAACCCCTTCCCCTTATAGATGCACCCCTTATTCTGTCTGGACAGAATTCCCCATTCTGGCCTGCTTCACACATATGGATTCCCTAAGACCTTTGAAAATCATAACAAGCTGGGAACTGAGTACTGTCCAGCTGAGTTCAGTGATACATGCCTATCCCAGCTACTCAGAAGGCTGAGACAGGAGGATCACAAATTCCAGGCCAGCCTGGGCAACTTAGCAAAACCCTTTCTGAAAATTAAAAATAAAAATGGCAACAGGTATAGCTGAGTGGTAGAGTGCACAAGTGCCCACATTCGATCCCAGTACCCAGTACCCCCTTCCACCCCACTTTAAAAAAAGTATTGTCCAGAGTTATTCAGTACCACCTAACAAGTTACTACTTATGAGTACTTCAGCTTAAAGTACCTACCCAGGGTGCTCTGGCACTTTAAAAAGATTACTCTTGCTCATTACAAAGAGAAGTTTCAGCACAGTTTCCCTGTATTTATTTATTTCAAGCAAGTGGGGTCAGGAGAGTCATGCAGTGAGTTCTGGTGTTAAGTGCCAGTCTTTTGATAATGTTTGTTGCATCTCCTAATTAAGTATTGTGATTTCAAATAATTAAGTGGGGACAATGAAGTGGAGGACAATTAATTTTAAAGCTTGATTTGCTAGTGTTAATTTAAAGAGTTAATTATAGCTTTAAAATCCCTGTCTGGGCAAAGGGCCACTACTACAGGTTCCACTTACAAGGCCTTCTTCTACTTGTCTGAGGAGCAGGCTGGTAATCGCTTCAATACACAGTAAAGTGCTTATGTCTCAGCAGAAGTTTCTTTGGAGTGGTTAAAGCACCATGTTGCTGGGCATAATTAAATTTCCCATTTGCGTTTCTGCTTGTGAGGGCTACGAAAATTTCCAAAATGGAGCAAGTAAATTCCATGACTTTTTTTCATATACCTAACTGAACATCAACTGATCATATCCACCTGTCCAGTGAGATTGTTCCATCTATTTGAGTTTAAAATTCTATTAAGTTCTGTGAGTGGTTCTCCAAACCCAGATGCACATTGCTTGTAAAATGGGGATAAGGATTATTATTTTTATTATCCTAGCAAATATATGACATGAGAGGTCTACTAATCACTGTGCTGAGTACTTCTCATGAATTTTCTGATTTAAACAATTATAAAATTTCTATTATCATTCTGGTTTCAGATGAGAAAACTGAAGCTTAGAAGGCTTAAGTAACTTACCAAGAGTCATAAACCTGATAAGGAATGGAATCCGAATCCAAAGTAAAACAGGCTCACTCCAGAGCTAGTGATTTTAACTATGTGCTCTACAGTCCAACTCAGTGGTTCTCAAACTTTTTTGGCATTAATAACTCTTTACTCTCTTAATTATTAAGGACTCTGAAATACTATTCTTTATGCGCTTATATCTATCAGTATTAACTATTACAAATTAACTATATTACAAAATTTTTATTAAATGTCTAAAGAATAATAAGTCCATTATTTTTAACATTAATAACCTTTGTGAAAAATGACAATGAAGGATTGAGAACTTAAAATTCTTCTTTTATGGTATATCAAAACTCACAATAGCAGTTTTTTGTAATTTTTTTTTAATGATACCAGGGATTGAACTGAGGTCCTGATACTCACTAGGCAAATAATTTCAACCTAGCTCAGATGAACTATAAGCCCTTGCTTTTGAGAGCTATGCTACAATACTTCCCAATGTTACACATTATTTTCATGAAAAAATAAATAGCAGAATAGTTGGTGAATTCAACGAAGACTTTTAAAGATAACTGCAGGAGTTTCATGGGCCCTCCACAATCTATCCACATATATACATTCCAAGTTTAAAACTCTTGCTCTAAGGAGCTACTACAGCATGGTAAGTTAAAATCTGAAGGAAAAAGAAAAAAACACCTGTAAGACTAATAGCTACCATTTATTGAGTACCTACTACACATCTAGCTCTGTGCTAAGTGCTTTACCTATGATACCTCATTTAGTTTTCATTCTGCAATACAGTGCCCATTACTATAGTAAGAAAACTGAGGTTCAGAGGACTTAAAGGGACTTGCTCAAAGTCAAACAGTAGAGGGAAATTAGCTCTTCACCAACTCTTTCTGTGGCAGCATGCTTCCTTTTAGGCAAACGCTGATTCAATACCAGGTCAAGGGTTTAAACTTATTACCAAACAAACAGAATAAACTCTGGAGACCCAGTCACCTGTATGATTTATGCAGTTCCATGACCTTCTCTTCAAGTTCCTTGGTCTGATTTGGGGCCAGATGAAAATCACTAACATAATCCACACCATGGAGTTCTGGATCGTAGTCTCCCAGCTCAGACTGGATGGTGTAAGAACCCAATAATGCTAAGGTTGCAAAGGAACAGGGCAGACGTCCTGCAACAATGTCCTGTCGAAGCTGAAGACATAAATAATATCTATAGCCAAAAGAGAAAAATGTTAATATGTCAGTCATGACAAAATATAGAGGGACAAAAAGGATAATAGGGAGAGGGAGAGAAGAAAAATAAGAGAGAAGAGATTAAGTAAATATGAGATCATATTAATAATTGTTCCATCTAAGTAGTGGGAAATCTAGGTAGTGTAGGATATGAAGTACCATACACGTAAACTATTTAATCTTCAAAGAATTTGTGAGGTGAGCATGACTGCAAGAGTATATAGAGAGAGGCAGCCTCAGAGGCTTAGCTGGCTCAATGTTAGTAATAAAATGTTTGGTCCAAACCCAGGTCCTTTCTTTTCTATCACTTTCCTTTGACAAATGTGTAGATACTGTTCTTCAAGAACAAAGATCTCAATATTGATACATTTTTGCTAGGATATGAACATTCTGGTGTGTTTTCGCTTCCAGATAGAATGTAGAAGGCTGCATGCCATCTAGCCTATCAGCCACCTTATAAGACCAATTCCCCCTGTGTGCTAAATTGTTGGTAATTCAAACTGCAGCTAAACAGCCAGTTCAACTAAACAACTGAGTGCCCTATCACATATAGACACTTGTTTCTATCAGTGTAATAGTCCTATCTGTGATCCTGACCTCCTTACCACATGTTAATTGAGTTAACCAATTCAGACAGTTCTATAGAACAAGAAGGTATGATGAAATTGACAACTCCTACATTAATTAGAACATATCCTTTTTTAAAACTATAATATTGAATAATATATGTATCAACAATAATTTTTGCTATCTACAATTAGTTGCTACATTTATGGGGGATTGTTTATTTTTCTGAAATGGAGTATCACCATGTTGTCCAGGCTGCCCTTGAATTTACAATCCTCCTGCCTTAGCCTATTATATAGTTAGAATTCCTGGTGTGGTGCACGACCATGCCTGACTTTTTTTTTTTTTTTAAGTCACAGAAACACTGAATAAGTCACAAGAATCTTAAACTCCTTTAAAGTGCAAGAAATTAGCAAAGGTTTTTAGGGATATATTCTGCTTTACAGAATAAGAATGGATGAAGAAAGATGATTAAGTAGCAACTCTAAGAGACAAACATTATCTGTGAAAAAGAAACAGTTTTATCGGGGAGAGAGATGGCATCTCAGCTTTAAGAATATACTAAAAGGGGCTGGGGTGGTGGCTCAGTGGTAGAGCACTTGCCCAGCACGTGTGAGGCACTGGGTTCAATTCTCAGCACCTCATGTAAATAAATAAAATAAAGGTCCATTGACAACTAAAAAATATTAAAAAAAAAAGAATGTACTAAAGGGGCTGAGGTTGCTGAGGTTGTACCTCAGTGGTAGAGCATGTGCCTAGCATGTGTGATGAGCATGTTGATCCTCAGCATCACATAAAATAAATAAATAAAATAAAAGGCATGTGTCTGTCTACAACTTAAAAAAAAAAAAGAATGTGTTAAAGATGAATGGACAACAAAGCCATCTTAAAAAATGATATAAACTTGCTGGTGTGGTGGCATCTGCCTGTAATCCTAGCAACTCAGGAGGCTGAGGTAGGAAGATTGCAAGTTTGAGACCTGCCTTAAACTTGTGATCCTCCTACCTCAGCCTCCTGAGAGGCTGGAATTACAGGCATATGCCATTGTGCTTGACAAAAGTAATTTTCTTAAAAGAAATCATTAGGTTGTTTTCAAAGAATAGAAGATTATTTTATAAATTAAGTAGGCCCAAAGGAGAATTCAATTCCCGAGGATCATGGGCCTAATCACATAGTCTAAACAGGAGATAGAAAGAATCTATAATAACCCTGAGATTTTAGTTTCTTTTTGATCCCTATAGGAAGGAACACAGTGGGAGATAAGTAAGAAGGGGAAGGAAAACAAAAAAGACACAGCGGAAGACATGAATTGGTATGAACATACTTTATATACAAACAGAGATAAGACAAATTGTGTTCTATATGTGTAAAAAGAATTGTGATGCATTCCACTGTCATGTATTTAAAAAATAAAAGCAATTAAAAAAAAAAAAAAAGACCCAGCTGAGCCACTCACCAGTCCATTCATTAACATGACTTACAGGAGCCCTGCCCACTGCTTGGCATATTGTCATAACAAGCAAGGCTACTAGTTCCTCTATCAGTTTCTTCTAAAGCAGATCAGAAACTTGAAGCTTTTTAGCTCCCTTATTTGCAAATCTGCCTTAAAGTGGCTAGAAACTTTTTATCTTAGGCTACTCATTTAACCTCTTATCACTTTTCTTCAATTCTGAGTAGGAAAATTTCCAGAGTTAATGATTATGACAATTACTGTTACAAATTTAACTATAGATTAATTATTTACCTTGTTATGTCTTCTGTTAACTGTGCTGGATCAGGTGGATAAAACTTTACGTTGAATGTAAAATTCCATGGGACACCTGCAAAAATGAACAAAAGAATTTTGTTTATGCCTAATTTTCTGATTGTTTTAAGTACCTCAAAATAATGAAAACAATTTTTTTTCTGAAATCTTTTAACATTTTCATGCTTTGTGGTAAGATAAACGTTTTCAGGAAGAAAATTGCTTATACATTATTTAGAACTATAGGATCTAATTTCTTTACCTAACTTAATAGCTTTGTTTACCAGGGATTATAAGTACATAGACAAAATAATATGAAGGAAACCATACTAAAGATCCTACGCCTCAGCTTGTTTATACCAATTTACTTATTTATTTAGTTTGTGGGGCTGGGAATTCAAACCTAGAGCCTCATGCAAGCCAGGTAAGTGCTCTAGTAGTGAGCCATAGCCCCCCGACCTCTGTAGCAGTGGCTTTCAAAGTGTGATTTAGATACTGCTCTGTGTCCTTAGAGATCATTCAGGTTACTAACATATATTCTTTTTTTACTTTCGGCATTATTTATTTGTGGTATTTGTTAATACCATCTTAAATAAACAAAAGCATTAGTCTCATAAATATGAGTGAAACTGGGAGATTATTTTAGAAGGAACAAGGGGCCCTAGGAAGGGTCCTTATTTTTCATTTTTTATCTTAAGGTAGGGTCATTAAATTGAGAACCTGTCTCAAAATTTTAAAAAAGGGCTGGGCACAGCAATCCTGAGTTCAATCCCAGTACTGAATAAAACAAAACAAAATCATAGCTCTGTTTAAAATAGGCATGGAAACTATAAAAATTAAATCCTGAAACAAACAAACAAAAAATGTTCTATTTTTTATCTACAATAAAAACCAGAGGATGAGTAAAGGTTAAATGGAGGATGCATTTCAATGTTTCCAGCTAGCTACATGCCAACCTTCAGGGTTTTCCTACTGTGGCTGTTGGCTTCCCATAAAGAAAGGCCTGATCTCAGCCAATAATCAGAATGCTTGGTTACGATCCTAGGACTCTCCATTTGTTTCAGTACTTACTGCATGCGAGGCACTAAGTCATTCTCTTACATACATTAACTTTTTTAATCCTCGGAAACCCAAGGATGTTAGGGACTAGTATTAATTTGTTTTATATGTGAAGAAACAGCAGCTTAGGAAAGAACACAGCTAGTGAATCCAGGGTTTTCTTACTCCAAATCCCATGCTTTTAACCACTGGGTTCTACTATCCCACTACAAACATCTATGTGTCAATCATACTTCTGTTTTACCTCCAAATACTATGTTTATTGCTAATAGCAACAAGGACAATATTGTAATAGTTTGAATGTCTTAATGAATGTGTGCTTTTAAGCATACTAAAACACTTGATATAGGATTTCCTTAGAAATAGTTAATACTTTCCTTCAACATTTGACCAGTATAACCAAAGCCTACTCAGGTCCTAATACTTACATTAACCCATTTCTAATGCTTCATATCTCAAAAACCTTAAATGGCACTTAGGTCAGAAAAACAAACTAGTAACTGTCTCTCAAAAAAGGGAGAGACAGCATTTACAGTATACAACAGACTAATACCATCTGTTGTTTCACTTTCTAATATGATAAAAACCTGTTAATCTAGCCATTGTTAATTCATAATTTCTCAAATATACTTTTTTTTTTAAGTCCTCTATACCACCTATAGAAAGGCCTTGGCTAGAGCAAATCAATATGGAAAAAAAAAGTAGTCAAAAACTGTTTTGCATATGCAAATTCAATATTTAAGAACTTTAAACATAAGTTATTTCTTAACACAGAAAAATGATAATATGCATAAGAATAACATTAAGAAAAATCAAGTAAACAATAGTTTATAAAGTGATTCTTTTTTAATCTCTTTAAGCCTTGTGTTAAGTAACTGATATAGAAAACTTAATAACACCTATGATTGGTAGGAGAAAATAAGCACTTTTACCTATTTCTGATAGGAGTATAAATTGGTACAATACTATGGAGAACAATTCCAGTATATCTATCAAAAAACAACACATATATGTACCCTTTCACTTTGCAATTTCATTTTCATAAAGGTATCTGAATAAATACTTGAATGTAGTCAAAATGCTACCTTTATAGGATATTTGTGAAACAGTAGAATTCTAAAAACAACCTAAATGTATATATTTAGCAAGAGAAGGTAAATCAAATTATGGGTCAGCTCTATGTTGGAAAACTAGGTAGCCATTAAAAAGAAAGAAGTAGCTTTATACAGAATAATCTTCAACATAATGTTCAGTGAGAAAAAAAAATCAAAGAACAGTATATATTGAAAGTTGCCATCCAAGTTTGGGGGGTGGGGAGAAAAAGTATAATTACAAGTATGATTATATATTTCTAGAATATCTCTATAAGGATATAAAATAAACTGGTAATAGTAGTTGGGAAACTTGGCAGGATATCTGTTAGGCAGGAAATCTGAGAGGATAGGGGAGAATAACAGTAGGGAGACCTGCTTTCACTACAGACTCTTTTTATGCCATTTTAATTTTGTTCTATGTATTTTCACTACTTGTTTTTATGCCTATAACTATAACTATATATATATATATATATATATATATGTATGTATGTATGTATATTTTTTTTGTGTGTGCATATATATATTTTTATTTTATTGTATTTTTTTTTGGTGGGGATTGACTCAGGGGCACTTAACTTAAGCCACATCCCCAGCCCTTTTCTGTATTTTGTTTAGAGACAGGGTCTTGCTGAGTTGCTTAGGGCTTAGCTAAATTGCTGAGGCTGGCTTTGAATCCACAATCCTCCAGCCACAGCCTCCCAAACTGCTGGGATTACAGGCATGCACCACCACACCTAATAAGATGCCTATAAAAATTTTTAAGGGATAATCTTTTGTTTCCTCCCACTAAAACAAATTCCTAAGGGCAAGAATGTTTTTTTCTGTTTTGTTTGGTGTGCATCCCTAGTACCTACAACAGCACTTGGCATGTCATGAATGCTCAAAAAATATATATTGAATGAATGAAATAAAGTCATCAACCTCACAGCATTGTTGTGAAAGTCATACAGGAATGATAATGCTTTGGGGGAAAATATATTTTTTAAAAGGATTATACAAGAAAAATAATACACACTAGTTTATTGAAATTATTTACCTATTCATTATCCCAGTTATCCAAATGACCTCAAGTTACTGAACATAATGAAATAAGAATATTTAAAAACTGACAAAAGCCTACAATTCTGTTTATATTTATTTGTGGGGTGGGTGGGATGTGGTAGTACTGGGAATTGAACCCAGGGCCTTGCACACTGAGCTACATCCTGAGCCTTTCTTATTTTTATTTTGAGTCAGGGTCTTACTAAATTGCCCAATTTGGCCTTGAACTCGAGATGCTCCTGCTTCAGGCAGCCAAGTAGCAGAAATTGCATGTGTGAACCACCCTGTCAGGCCCATTTAGATTTTTCTCTCCAGAATAAGGAATTTTAACTGCATTAGAAATAGCCATAACTGGGCTGGGGTTGTGGCTTAGCGGTAGAGCGCTCACCTAGCACGTGCGGGGCGCTGGGTTTGATCCTTAGCACCACATAAAAATAAAATAAAGGAATTGTGCCTAACTACAACTAAAACAAAATATTTTTTAAAGAAATAGCCATAACTAAATGGAAATGTCCCAGATATTAACAATTTTACTTTTGTTAATGGCACTCATCAGGCAAGGAACTCAAAACTTTTGGTTCCAGCCAGGCATGGTGGCACATGCGTGTAGACTGGCCACTGGGGAGGCTGAGGCCAGAGGATCACTTGTGTTTACCAGATGTCTGGGGAATACAGCAGATTCCAGCCTTAAATAGATAAAAACTTCTATTATTTTTCTATTATTCTATTTTCTATTATTTTCTGTTACAACTGTCCAGTTTCCTTGTAAGCAAGTTTAGGATTAAATACAATAGGGATGTTAAAAAAGTTGATCACTTGGAATTTAACACAATAAAGTTAAACTTTAGTTAGTGACTATTTCTAGAGCTTGATAAACATAATTAGCAATATTTTATGGAAAATATTTAGTGAAGAATAAAAATAGTGTCTAGAAAAAGCTTTAAAAATTGTCACCAATAAAATTTCTGCCTTCTAACCCAGCAACATTTCAATGACATTCTTAACAAAAGTACATAACCTGAATCTAACCATGTGGAAACATTAGACAAATTCAAACTGACCACTTATGAAATAGTTGGTCAATACTCCAAAACTACCAATGTTATGAAACACTTTAAAGACTCAGGAATTGTTCCAGATTAAAGAAAACTAAAAAGATGGGACAATGCTGTTTTACTTTCTCTTGCTCTATAGGATATCATTGGGATGACTAAAAATAATGTTTATATATTATAATATTGTTTCAATTTTAATTTTCTGCTTTTGATAATTGTACTGTGGTCTTGTAAGAAAGTTCCTGGTGTGGGGCTAGGCACCTGCCTACCACGGGTGAGAGCCTGGGTTCAATACCCAGCATGGGGGTTTGGGAGAAGGAAAGTCCTAGCTTTTAGGGTACACAAAATGAAGTAATTAGGGGCAGAAGGGCAGGACATCATGACTGCAACTGTTTTTAATTGAGGTGGAATTCACATAATGTTAACCACTAAAAGTGTACATTGGGTGACACTTAGTACATTCACAGAGTTGTACAACCACCACCCCTACCTAGCTAAGACATTTTTATCATTCCCAAAGGAGACCCTGCATCCATTAAGCAGTCAATTCCTGTTCACCCTTTCCTCAACCCCTGCCAGCAACTAATCTGCTTTCTGTCACTGTGAATCTACCTATTTTGGATAGCTCATTTAAACTGAATTATACAATATGTGGCCTTTTGTGTCTAGTGTCTGGCACTTTTCCCCCTCTTTGAGACAGAGTCTCATTATGTTGCCAAGGCTGGCTTCAAATTCCTGGACTCAAGAATCCTCTGGCTTCAGGCTCCTAAGTAGTCGGGCCCCGGCGTGCCCTGTGGTGCTTAGCTTTCATCTGGTATAATGTTTTCAAGGCTCATCCACAGGTTGATTCATCTTCATTCCTTTTTGTGGTTTCATAATATGCCATTGTTTGAATATTCTGTATTTTCTTTATCTGTTAATGCACTTTTGAGCTGTTTCCACAACTTGGCCTCGTGGACAACGCTGCTGTGATGCAACTTATTTTTAAATGGTTCAGAAAAAAAGCCATGTGTGTGTTTGTGTGTGTGTGTGTATACATGCATGCCTACATGCACTTGTGCCCTTGCATGCACGCGTATAAGTAAATAGAAAAGAAAATAAAGCAAATGTAGTAAAATATTAACATTTGAGGAATTTGGGGGAAAGGTGTAAGGGTATCCAGGAATTCTTCATACCATTCTTTCCATTTCTGTAATTCTGAAATTATGTCCAAAATTTTAAAAAGTTAATAAAAAAGAAAGAAAAAAGAAAAGTCTGCCTTCTGAAAACATAGGAAACCAAGAACTCTTGTATAATACTGGTGGGGGTGTGAACTATTAGAATCAATTTAAGGGAGAACAATTTGGCAATATCATGTAATGAGGAAAATAAACATAGCCTATAAACTAGTAATTCCACTTCCAGATATATAAGTAGGTACTTTTTTAAACCATGGAATTATGAGCCACGTACAACAAATTTAGTGAGGGGGAAAAAATCAGCGCTTAAAAATGTGAAGGGGAATAAGAAAGAAAAAAATCAGAATCTCACAGTGCAGATTAAGAATTATTTTGTGAAATCTTTTTTAACAGAGATGAATTTCAAAAACCCATGGGTGTGTTTCTGTATAGACTCAGAACATCTCTAAAAGGAAGACAAGAAATTAGTTACCATGGTTGTCTCTAAGAAAGGAAACTGCATGACTAAGACAGGGAAGAAGGGAGGTTCACCTTGTGCTGTACTCATTTGTGCCTTTCAATTTGATACACATACTAATAGCATCTATCTTAAAAAATAGTTTAAAAAACTATGTATGGAATACTATTTTTTTTTAAAAAAGAGAATTTTTTAATATTTATTTATTTTTTTAGTTTTTCGGTGGACACAACATCTTTATTTTACTTTTATATGGTGCTAAGGATGGAACCCAGCGCCCCGCGCATGCCAGGCGAGCGCACTACCGCTTGAGCCACATCCCCAGCCCTGGAATACTTATATTTTTGAAACACAAAATTTGTACATGCTTAACAGAAAATGTTACAGATTATATCAATTTGTGACTATATCCAATAATGTTTAAATTTTTCATCAGTATATATTATTTGTATAATGAAAAAGTTAAAAAAGAAAACATCTTCACAATAGATAAATGTGAAGGCTAAATAAGATGTTTACATTTTATTATTAAAGTTTTATTAGAAAAAATAATTTTTTCATGTTGTAGAAATAATTTGATATTTTATAATTTTTTAAATTTTGAAAATGTTAAAATTTATTAATAGTTAACATCATAGTTAATTCAACTGTTTCTCTATTGTATATAGTGACAATATCTTCACAAGTCTGCATGCTCATATTTTATAATTTTTTTTAAATGCCAAACATTTAAGTTCTTTTTCTTAGCAAGAGGTTTTTTTAATACTTAGGAATCTACTAAATATTCTTCTTAGCATACACTGTGTTAACTTTTCCTCCTAAAGAATCCTCTTATGAGTAATATTATTCCTGAGTAATATTGAATATTAAAAGCATATTCACTGAAAGAAGGTAGAATTTTTTTTCTAGTCATGTCTCAAATATTCTGAATATTTTTTGCTTTGACTTGCATTAAAAAAAAAAACAAGCTTTTATACATAAAAAGCAAATATGGAGAGCTGGCAGTCCAAAGGATTATCTTCTCTGTTTTTTTGGTTTGGGTACTGGGTATTGAACTCAGGGGTATTTGACCACTGAGCCACATCCCTGGCTCTATTTTGTATTTTATTTAGAGAGAGGTTCTCACAGAGTTGCTTAGCATCTCACAGTTGCTGAGGTTGGTTTTGAACTCGCAATTCTCATGTCTCAGCTTCCTGAGCCACTGGGATAACAGGCGTGTGCCATCATGCCTGGCATCTTCTCTCTTTTTATAAAATTAAAACAATTATAAATGGAGTCTAAAGGAAAACATTTCACCATAAGAGAAGTGTTTTAAGAAATGAATGGGGCTGGGGTTGTGGCTCAGAGGTAGAGTGCTTGCCTGACACACGTGAGGCACTGGGTTCAATCCTCAGCACCACATAAAAATAAATAAACAAAATACATTGCATCCATCTATAACTAAAAATTTTTTTAAAAATAAAATAAAATAAATGAATGGGATGGGTGTGCTGACACAGGCCTGAAATCCCAGTGACTCAGGAGGCTAAGGTAGGAGGATTGCAAGTTTAAGGTCAGCCTCAGCAATTTAGTGAGGACCTAAGCAACTTAACAAAAGCCTATCTCCAGATAAAACACAAAAAGGGTTGGGGATGTAGCTCAATCGTACTGCACCCATGGGTTCCATCCCAGAAAAAAATTAATCAAATAGACAAAAAAAGTCTTGATAATTCCTGAACTGTAAAATAGTTATGCTACAGAAACAGAGAAACTTTACAGTATAGGGTCTTAAATAAGCCTCTCTTGATTTCTGTCTATTTTCTGGAAGTAAAGTTTGCATTCAGGTGATAGTTAAAATTTATGATTAATAACTGCATTTCCTGGAAGTTTCTTCAAAAATAAACTAAACTCATAGGATAGCTATTGACCTTTAATCAGAACAAAACAAAACAAAACAAAAAGCATCTACCTCTTAGTTAATCTGTTGGGTCTGAGGCTACAAAATACTAACATATACTTTTCTTCATCCCGGGACACCAGTCTGAGCAGGGTATACAGCATGAGCTGTGTCGGAGGCCTTAAAGCTGACAGTGAAGCCACAATGTCAGAAGAGCCAGTGGCAAGCAATTCTTATTCCTGCATTCTGTTTATCTTCCATAGTCCCTTATACTTCAAGTTGGAAAAGACTGCTGGAAGAGATGAAAAGAACTACAGTGGTCCCTTATCCTAGGGAATATGTTCCACCTCAAAACCCCCAGTGGACGCCTGATATCTTAAATAGTACCAATCTCTATGTGTATTTTTTATATATATATATATATATATATATATATATATATATATATATATATATACACACACACATACATACATATATATCTCGTAAAGTTGAAAATTCACTTTTTCAAATAAAGGATACCGTTTACAGCTTCTCTTTGGTCTATTCAAATTGCCAGCATCACTACTCTTAAGCTCTATGGCCATTATCAAATAAAATAAAGCTTACTTGGACACAAGCACTGTGATACTGGGATTACCTGATAGCCCTAATGGCAACCAAGCAACTAATGGGTGGATAGCGACACAGCATGGTTACACACTGGACAAAAGGATGATTCATGTCCCAGGCAAGACTGGAGCAGGACTGCAAACGGCATGCAACTCAAAATGTATACATTATCTATTTCTGGAATTTTTTGTTCAAAATTTATAGATCACAGTTTGTTGTGGGTAACTGAAACTGTAGAAAGTGATAGCACAGATAAAGAGGGACAACTGTATAGGGAAGAAAACATGGAGAAAGTTAGAACACAGGGCTAGGGACGAGGCTCAAAGGTAGAGTGTGTAAGGACTTGAGATCAATCCTTGGCATCAAAAAAAAAAAAACAAAAAAACAAAAAAAAAAAMCCCAGAAAGGAAAGAAATAAAGAAAGTTGTAATACAATAGTCCAGAACAACTTAAGAGGAGCAGACTCTAGCAGCAAACTCCCACTAGTGGGCTACTGCAGTTTTAATCACTACCATTTTGGGAACTGACTCCCATATCTTTTTTCTTGGCTCATCTTCGTTCTTTTCCACTTGTTACTCTTACCTGTTTCTATCTTCCCTAGCTTTGCCTAGTTGTTTAAAAAAAAAAAAAAAAGGTCAAGATCTAACCTACATCTCAACAGTGTCCTCCTCTGCTTCATTTTTCTATTATGGAATCTCCTCCTTCCAGGGGAAGGCTTTATGTCGTTTCAAAGCAATCTGCAATGGTCAGTATTCTAAAGTGACTGACTCACAGCCAGACGTAGCTGGAAATCCTCTGACCTACTAAAAGAAAGGGAAAACTATAAAAAGGACTATATCTACTTACCTCGAACTTGCTTTTTGATTTCTTTGGCAGAATCCAGCCATGTCTGTAAAAAGAGAAAAGGCATTCACACAGAGCCACAATACACATAAACAACAGAGTCCTCGGAAGCAGGATCACTGACCATCTTGGAAGAGTGCCTCCACATCAGCCTGCATCTCCCCTGACAGGCTTTGCATTGATTTTACAAAACATAATGATGTTCAGCAAAGTAAGACTCAGAAGCTGGGCTTAAATCCAAGCTCCACYACATTCTAACTGAGTAACTTTACCATTTCCAGGCCTCATCCCCTCATTTGTAAAATGAGATATTAGAGTAACACCCACCTCACAGAGTTAGGAAGATTAAGTGAGCTAATATATGGAAATCTCTTAGTAAACATTAAGTATGAAATAAACACTTGCTATTTATATTATTCGGTCAAGTCTAGAGAAGATTCTACAACCAGAATCAATTCACATTATCCAAATCTTATTTTCCCTTCCAACCCTGACCTTTGTCTCGTTCAAGTTTTCTACATCAGCACAACATCTGGTACATGGTTCATACCCAGTTAATGTTCACAGGATAACAGGGCCATTAGGTTCCCCCTGACTACTCTTGCCCACACTAATCTTTCCCTCACTGTTCTCCCTGTCAAGGGTCCACACATCACCAGGACAGGCTCCATAGCCCATGGTAGACCATGTAAAATAGTAGCACTTGAAAAGAGCCTCACCATTAACATCTTTCATAGGAAACTTTGAAAAATGTTTAAAGACAAAAATCACTAAATTTCTAGAATTATTTAAAATATTTCTACAGAATGAAGATACAAATGAAAGAGTACGTTGGCTGAGGGTATAGTTCAGCTGGGTGTCATGGTATACATGTAATCTCAACTACTCAGCAACGTGTGGAAGGAGGATGACAAGTTTGAGGCCAGCCTGAGCAACTTAGATCCTGTATCAAAATAAAATTAAAAAGGACTGGGGAAGGCTGGGACTATACAGTGTCAGAGTGACTGCCTGTTATGTGTGAGGCACTGGGTTTGATCTTTAGCATCACATAAAAAAAAATAAAGGCATGCTGTCCATCTACAAGAGCAGTTATGCATGAGGCCCTGGGCTTGATCCCCAATACATACATACATATATACACACACGGGAAATGACCTAAAACTAAGTACATAGGTCAGTAAAATAACAAAGTGAACAATACAAATTATAGTATTATCAAAACCCCTCAGGAGCTCCACTTTTACTTCTACCTAATCCTTCCCCTTGCCTCATCCAAAAACTCTAAAAACGAATTTTAGTGATATTCAGAAAACAGAAGATGTCCCCTTTACGCCCTCTACCAACAAGGGTGACCAACTCATCTGCCTGCTCAAAGGAATGGGCTTGAATAACACAGTTTTATATTTGATTATATAGAAAGATAGTTACCACAACAGACAATAAGCACAAAGACTAAGGACTAGCTTCCTTTTATACTCCCTCACAATTAACACAGAAATATTTACTAATACCACTTAATAAAAAATTGACCTATAGTATAAAAATTAGGTACACAGTGGTATAAGCCCTGTCAGAAAGGGAGGACCTTAGTCTCTCATTTAGATTAAAAAACTTTAAGTTGTGGTAGATGCAAAAGCAAAGGAAATTTTTAAAAACACTAGTTGATAAATTTTGTGGCATCTCTGAGAACCTTGGTTTATACTATACAATCTGGGAAGCTTAAGGAAGACAACTTTTTACTGCTTTGGAGTGGATATAATCTACAATAATAAAGAACTCCACATTTTCTAATTTAAGATAATCTCTCAAGGTAACCTGAAGCTTCCAAGTTCCTTCCAGGGATTCCATGAGCCATTCTGACTCTAGAGCTAAAATGCCCACCAGTTTGACATTGAGATAGCAAATTCAGATTTGTCCCATGGGGACTCCAAGGGCTAAGATAATTTATACAACAAATTATTACTTTTCAGTATCTATACTTCCATAAAAACATTAAAATAATAATGAGCTGGGTGTCATGGTATACATGTAATCTCAACTACTCAGCAACCTGAGGAAGGAGGATGGCAAGTTTGAGGCCAGCCTGAGCAACTTAGATCCTGTATCAAAATAAAATTAAAAAGGGCTGTGGAAGGCTGGGACTATACAGTGGCAGAGTGACTGTCTGTTACGTGTGAGGCACTGGGTTTGATCTTTAGCATCACATAAAATAAAATAAAGGCACGCTGTCCATCTACAATCAAAGAAAACAAAACAAGCAAACAAAAAGAGGGCTGGGGGAGTAGTTTAGTAATAGGGTACTTGCCTAGCATGAGTGAAGACCCTGAGTTCAATCCCCAGCACCAGAAAAAAGCAAAATAAAACCTTCTGGAGATAACAAGAATTGACGTGAACAAGAACAGTTACTTTTTTGCTAAAATTATTTAACTCCCAGTATTTTATTTAGCAAACAAATATTGGAGGAATGATTCAATGTAGTAGGCAGTGTGGTTTCAAAAAAAAAAAAAAGATTATAAAAAAGAGTGCTTGTTCTTTAGGAGCCATCATTTTAATGTGAGACATGAACAATGAGCAATCGATTTGTTCCAGGTGTGGACACTACCATGACAGTGCCATGACAGAGCTGAGAGTACACTGAGATTACAGAGAACGCGCACCAGCATGGATTGCAAGGCAGTCAGGAAATGTTTCTCCAATAAAGTGTCTAGGGGATCTAAACTGAGTCTTGACAAACAGGAGGTATCCAGGCAAAAAAGAAAAAAAGGTAATGAAGTAACTGAAGGTAAAAGTAACTGAAGGGCTGGGGATGTGGCTCAAGCGGTGGCGCGCTCGCCTGGCATGCGTGCGGCCCAGGTTCGATCCTCAGCACCACATACCAACAAAGATGTTGTGTCCGCCGAGAACTAAAAAATAAATATTAAAATACTCTCTCAAAAAAAAAAAAAAAAAAAGAGAAAGTAACTGAAGTATAAAAAAAGAACATGATTATTTCTGAATTGCCATATGTAGTTCCCCACAGCTTGAGCTCAGAGGTAAAGAGACATGCAAAACTGAAAAGGAAAGTAAGGGCCAGATCAGGGAAGGCACCTTACTCCGTGCTAGGAATATGGACTCCATCAAGTTCTGGGCAAGCAGGAGCCATTAGAGGATTTAAAATAAAGGAGTAGCATGAATTAGAGGAAGCATGCCTAGAGACAGGGAGACCAAATAAGAGGCTGTTGTGCAGGATGTTAATTGTGGTCCAGCAGAGTATAATGGTCCAGGGAACATGCTTTGAAATCAGTCTTGAATTATAATCTTGCCTTAACCTCTCCACCATTTATTAGCTATATAAACCTTACCTAAGATAATCTTTCTGAGCCTCAATTTTTTCATATGTGTACTTGGTACCAACTACCCTCCTCATGGAGTTATTGTGGAATAAACTATAACACACACACACATATCAAATATATATACATATATATGACATAATCAATACTCTATAAATGGCACTGATACAGCTTAGCAAAATGGTGCGATGAGATCAAGTCTATGGGACAGAGAACAAAGAGTCCCTGAGTTCATCAAAAAAGAAGAAGAAAGAAAAGAAAAAAAGAAGAGAATGTTAGAGGAAAGAGACAGAACTTAATTTATAAAATTATGAAATATTAAGAAGACAGTTATAGAATTATATTTTACCAGGTATCTTAAGCTGTCCCTTAAAATAACAATTCTGGATAATCTGGTTTCTATTTAAATATTCATCCACACGGAAAATGGGAGGCAAAAGAAGAACAAATGCTATTAAATTGAATGTAGTCTTAATTTAAAATTTTCATTTTTTATAAGAAGAACTTAAGTTTTTTGTTTGTTATTGTTACTGGGGATTAACTGTGGGACATTTTACTACTGAGTTACAACCTCAATCCTTTGGCTCAAAGAGCTTTTGTTTTTTGCTTACAGACAGGATTAGGAGGAAGGGTAAATAATGTGAGTAATTTTCCCCCCAAGAGAAAAATCCTCAATTCATTCATAAATAATTTTAGGCAGAAATAAAATAATGGAAGTATCTATTTAACTCATATAACTTGATTCATAGTCACAAAAATCTCTCAGAGCAGAGTTTGCTTCCAGATCGCTTTTCCTTTTCTCTGCTCAGACTCAGTAGGGCAACTGGCCTATTATCATGCAGTAAGTAGGAAAGCAGCAAATTCAAACCACTCCCTGTGAGGAAAAAGCCACTTCAATAAACTTTCCGCCCAGCTCAAGGTACTAGATTGAAAACAAAACACAGACTCAGAAGCTTTTAAAGAAGAGAAGCTACATATCCAAGGATAAACCTTTTCATATACAAAAACAGGACATCAGAGATTAGAAATGAAAAGAGGATAACAGTATTTCTTCTCATTATAATAGTTCGAATTTTTTCCATAAGTGAACTAATTCTGTAGGAAGAAAGGAAGAAAGAACAAAGAAACAATAAAGTAATTTAAAATCAAGGAACAAAGAATAAAAAGAAAATCACTTAGGATGGGGGAGCAGGCAAAGAGCTGAAGGAGTAAACTGCAAGACAAAAGCCATTCTGATTTTATATGCTTCATTTTTCTCATTTGTAAAATTAGTGGGATGGTTAGGCATGGTGGTGCATGTCTGTAATCCAAGCTACTCCAAAGGCTAAGGCAGAGGATTGTGAGTTTAAGTCCAGCCTAGAGAACTTGGCAAGATCATCTAAAAAAAAGGGGTGGGGGGTGCTGGGGGTATAGCTCAGTGGTAAAGTGCCCCTGAGTTTCCTACAGCAAAAACAAAACTAGGGGGGTAAGACCAAAAGGCTTTATGGCTCTACTATCTTCTGTATTTCTAATGACCAAAAATTTAGATATAGTCTTACAAGACTACATACTTTACAGATTTAGTCACTTCGTTAATATGTATATTCTTCTAGAGAGGGTATTTTCTGGAAAGTTGGCTTATTGACGATAGATACAGGGAATGACAGTGTTAGACAAAAGTCATGTAGGGCATTTTTTGGAATGAGTTCCAGTACCATAGGCCCCCAAAGACCAGACCAAAATGGAGTCACTCCTGCTAAATGTCAGGTAATCAAACTGAAACCTGAAGAAAGAAGTTATATCCTCAAACAGATCAGTTTTTCTTGAAATCAAGATTCTAGTCTGAGTTCACTTAAAAAAAAAAAAGTCCCCTTGGTTTACACCCTTACAAAAGTAACCTGATGCCCACTGTTTCCCCCCCACTCACACACACACTGTTCTGTTTCCTTATCCCCCTACAAAACCCACTTCCCTGCCCAGTGGGAGCCCTCATTCTGTTCTGCAGGATGGGGCTGCCCTATTCATGAACTATACATCAAAGTCAATTCTATCTTTAAATTAACCAATTAAAGTCAATTAAATCTCTAAATTAGTCATAATTTTGTCTTTTTCCAATAGCTAAGACGAAGTCCCATAATCTGGCTAGACACCATCAATTTTAAGTAAGAAGCATAATATTCTTCAGTACACACCCTTCCTAAGAAAAGATTAGGTAGCTTATTCAACCTGAAGGGTGCTCCAGAATGCATTTCCAGATTAGGATCAACAAATTATTAAGCGGAGGCCTTGGTTTGTTGGTAATTTAATTGTGAAATAATACTACTATCATAATATCAATGGGAATGACAAGGCTCCCCGATTGCCTGGAAGCCTCACAGCCAGCCTGGTAATCTAGTGTTAGTACTAGTGCTAGTCAATAGTGTTAGTACCTTTCCAAACCCTAATTAATATAAATTTTGGACCAATAGCATTTACCCTATATAAACCCCTAGAATAGCACAATCAGGCAGCAACCCTAATTGGGTCCCCTCTCACCCAAAAGAGTTTTGTTTCTATACATACTTCAATAAATCCTACTCTTATTCTCACTTTTCTTGGTCTATGGATTTCACTCTTCAAATTCCTGACAAGAACCAGAAAGAATAAATTGGCAGTGAGCTTCTAGGGTCTGCTGCAACACTGGAGGTCATAGCCCACCATTAAAAGCTGCAATACCTTTGTCAGCACATAGACCCCACCTGTCAGCAGAAGTGGAGAAACTCCTTTTTTTTTATTGAGCACTTACTACATGCAAGGCCATTCTGCATGCTTTCATATAGATTATCTCATCATCATTCCTATTTTATCAATGAGAGGTATGAATAATTTACCTAACTCCCAACTAGTAAGTGACAAAGCTGTAGTCTAAAGTGTAACAATATGGGAATGGGATTGTGGCTCAGCAGTAGAGCCCTCGCCTAGCACAACCGGACTCAGGTTCAATCCTCAGCACCACATAAATATAAAGGCATTGTGTTGTGTCCGTCTACACCTAAAAAATAAACATTAAAAAAAATAAAGTGTAACAATATGTTTCAATTTTTTCAATTAATTTATTGAATGTCTCCCATATTCWGGGCAGGCAATGTTCTGGGCACCTATTTTCTTGAGATAATCACAACCTAGTGAAGAATGTAAACAACAGCCGAAACAATGGATGAAAACCGACCCACACTAAGATGCAGAAATGTGAAATCTCATAACTCTGGAGCAGGAGATCCTAGTAGCTTGGTTCTATAAGGGCTTGGGGGAAAAGGGACCAAAAGTTATCCAGAAGGATCAAGAAACAGAAAGGTTCTGACCATGGTTCTGCTGGATATCCTTTAAGGACCTGATTTACACCACAGACTGACAATGTCCTGACTATAATAAGCCCTTCATTCCTAGGATCACTTGCCCACAGATCTCCCTGGAAAGGTCTTCTTACAGCTGTCAGGGAAATTTAAGGTAGATTGTCCGCTGCGCGAACAGCACACTAGCTTCATACTAGAGGTTAGAAGCATAGAAGTTAACTAGTGAGATCAAAATAAACACACAAACTCAATTTACCTTTTTCTTTGACCAGGTCTGAGACGGCCCTCCCTCTGGCTCCTACCTCGAGCCACCCGGTGGGGCAGCAAGGCTTACTCAGGACTAGCAGGAGAGAGTGAGAGCACGCCAGGGAGTGGCCTTTTATTGGGGAACAAGAGATTCAGGGGAAAATTCCATCCAATGAAGGTCGAGGGGGATAGCATTCCAAGGTCAGGGTCAGTGATTGGTCTTAGGGTCAATGGTCAATCACACCCCCACACGGATTGGATTAGCTCTCGCACCTAGAGAGGGTGGGGATTAGTTCCCACACAGTTTAGCCAGAACACCTCACACCCAATCAGGGAGGTGCCCAATCATGTGCCAGAATGGCTTCCCACAAGATTGTGATTCAGAGATATCACCTTTCCTTTTCCAGAAATACTTTATGAGGGATATTTCCTTACATAGGCAGGTTTGCACTTTGCTCTTCAGCTTTTATATTCGATATTTTAAAAAAACACTTTACACATAAACATATAAATAAAATAATTTAATATTTGCTTATTAAAAACTAGGATAGTAGAAACTGCTATAAAGAAAACTTTCCACAGGACAGAGTATGGACAACACCAATAATGGTAAAAAGTTTTCAATGAAACTGAAAAATTTTATCCCAATATGGACTCCAGAAACTCAACAGCAGAGTTTCTTCTGCTGAAACCCTTAGATGAGCTAGCTTCTAGAAACATGATTCACAGAAAATTTATTTCCAGCAGTGACTTTATTTACTGGGCAAGTTATGGAATTCTTAATTATCCTCAAATGAACCTTTTTTTCCCCCTACAATATAACAATACTCAATTTCTAGATATCAAAATTCTCATTAAGCAAATGTAAGATAAATATTTTTCGGAGTATTTCCCCAGATTCTTGGTAGAATTTTTTAGCTTACAGCTGCAGAAAGTTTTTCACTATAGTTTTGGGATATTGTTTTATTTTTAAAATTAATTTCAATGTTCCTTTGCTAGTGAGAAATAGTTTTAATAAAAGCATGTTTGATCCTTTAGGGAGACAAAGTAAAGGTTAAGTCCTTAAGGAACAATATTAACCTAGTACTTGATGGTAGACACAATTCTTCTGCTAGAATCAACAGTTGTTCACAGGAGGAACAAACTTTTACAAATTTAGAGGGAGCTACTAGGACTAAATACTTTTACTTAGGCAAATTGTCATTCTACTTCTAGTTTGCACTAACCTAAATAACCTAATCAATAGGGTTTACAGTTGTTCAGTGCTGCTGCCCCTCAACTATTTTTTTTTTTTTTGGTACCAGGGATGGAACCCAAGGACACTTAACCACTGAGCAACACCTCCAGCTTTTGTTTTTAGACAAGGTCTCAGCTAAGTTGCTGAGGCTGGCTTCGAACCTATAATCCTCCTGACTCAGCCTTCTGAGCCAATGGAATTACAGGAGTGCAGCACCATGCCTAGCTTCAATTTTTCTTAATAATTTGAAATCATCTTGGAAAAAGAACCAACATTTTATAAAAGCTGCTCTCCAGGACTCCTCCAACCCCTGAGCAGCTCTCTAGATTCTTCTATATTCCTTATCTCCAACGTTCAGCCAGCCTAGCTGGCTCTCAGTTCCTCAAACATCACTCTCGATCGTAGGTCTTTACGCAGCCATTCTGTCACTTCACTTGCCCATTTTATCTTTTAGATTTTGGCTCGAGTATCCTCTCCCCAGAGAAAACTTCCCCGGCCATAACTCCATGACATCCTGTATTTCCTTTAGTATAACAGTCATCACACCAGCACCAGGAATCAATGTCATCTTCATACTGAACTGGAAGCTCCAGAGGGCAGGGACTATGTCTTCCTTAATCACAGCTCTATTTACAGTATCCAGTACAGCACATGCAACCACTTGTTAAAAACTGGACTTAAGTTTTCATCAGTAGATTAAGCGAAAGATTTGCAACTTCAATTAATTGGCGCAGGAAATTCAAGCGTTCTGAGGTAAATAAATGCCTGCCTTTTATCCTTTCTTTCCTCCACCGTGAATGGGTGTTGTCACCCATTCTTCTCCTTTCAACACAAGTTAACAACTGGTTTTCTTTAAGATTGGGGAAAATGTCAGATTCGTTACATGATTCTTTTAATAATATTAGGAGTTTATTCTCTTCAATAACATTGCTTGTAAATTATGTATCATAATTACATCCATTCAACAAATATTTATTATAAACTTCCTATGTATCAGATACAATACTAACTGCATAATATATGAAGTTACTGGCATCTGTTTGCTTGCAAATTAGGGCATATACCTCTTTACTTTCCCTACCGTTTAAAAATATATGATAGATACTTTCTCTCAATGATTAAAGAACACACTAGCAATAGTATTTGCTTTGAAGGTAATTATAGAAGGAAAATAGCAGGAAAATCTGAGAAACCAGAACAGAGTAAGTGCACTTAGAGAGACAGGTGTAACTACATTCTTAACAACAGTAACAACAACAAAGAATTCAAATAATTTGTCAGCTTCTTACACTGCTCGTAGTCTCCTTACCTTAGAGCTTACACTGTCCCAAATGGCTAGACCAAAGTAGTCTTCCTCCAAAAGATTGAGGTGTTCACATACTCTTTTAAGCAAATCTTGTCCCTTAGCATGTTTCTGCAATAAACAACATATTTTAGTTGAGGTTTCTTTTTTCTTCTTCTTCTTCTTTTTTTTTTTTTTTTGCAGGGGGGCTACCAGGAATTGAACTCAGGGGCACTCGACCACTGAGCCACATCCTCAGCCCTATTTTGTATTTTATTTAGGGACAGGGTCTCACTGAGTTGCTTGGTGCCTCACTTTTGCTGAGGCTGGCTTTGGATTCACAATCCTCCTGTCTCAGCCTCCCGAGCAGCTGGGAGACTTGCCCGGCTGAGGTTTCCTCTTAACCTTGTTCTTATCATCAAATGAAATAAACTGTTACTTTTTACTTACCTCTTTTATCTTTGGTTATTAAATTTCAGGTGGCCACACAGTCTCATAGAACAGTATGATTTAAATTACTGTCTTTCAATTCATCAGCTTACATAGGCAACACAAGAATAGTACTTTGGACACAGTTTCAATGCAAATCTACCTTTCCTCTATCTCCCATCCCCCATCTCCATCAATAAACATACATTCTTTATTTGGGGAGCAATATTTCCTGTAACATACCGTGGGCCAGTGCCAGAACCTGCAACCAGCTGAATCAACTGTCAATGCTCACAATTAACTGTGGCTGTGGAAATCCTTAGACCATCATTTTCAGAACAAATGTCCCAAGAGAAATATATATAACATAAAATTCTAGATAGCCTACAGACACTACCTGTTGGAACAGCTCTTTCGGTAGTGCTACAAATCATTTTAATATTTATTTACCTTCAACGTCAAACAACTTCCAAGTTCTTGGTACTTATGCTCCCATTTATAGGAAGGAAAGGCCCTAACTTAGAGGCTGTGATTTAGAGGTAAAACGTCCTAACTCCTTCATTCACTAGCTTAAAAAACTAAGCAGCTTCAACTAACCTGAGCCATTGCAACTAATACCAGCTTTCTTATCTATAAAATTATAAGAATATTTATACCTGTCCTACCTATTCACAGAAATTGTTGAAAAAAATTGAACATGCTAATGCCTTCTGAGAAATATATAAAAATATTTCTAAAAATTAAAATCAGTATTGGGGATGGAACCCAGGGCTTTGTGAATGTTGGGCAACTGCTCTATCACTGAGCTACACTGCCAGTCCTAGGAATCTTTTTAGGCCACATAGATGACACATTGTCCACTTAATGAGTTATATCAAATGACTATTAGTAATTCATACAAATGTTCATTCACCTCATTCTTAACCCATTTCTATCTCATCATTCTTTTCTTTTTCCTCCTGCTTTCACTACAAATGACAGAAGATAAGTTGAGTATTCTTCATATACAGGTCCCTAATTCCCTTATTCTTAATTTTAAAATCCAGTTCTAAAAATTAAAAGTTTTTTTGGGAGGGAAGGGGGCACTAAAGTTCACTTGGAGGAAATTCTGACCGAAGCTATAAAGAAGCTACTTATGGTCTTCAGTTATCCGTCTTATGATGAATCTTCATGTATTTCACTATAGAAATACATTTAAGCCCCTGCAGACACAGCTACAGACCCTATTGGGTGTATTGAGAAATCTGTGAAATATGCAGAATACATACTTATCACCTTTCTAAATTTCAATCTATTCTGAATTCTGAAACACATCTGTTCCCAAGGGTTATAGATTCAAGGACCCATATCCAGATCTTGGACTGAATAAGAATGAATGAATGTGGAATAGCTTTCCTATCTCTGCGCTAGCTAGTGGCAAGAAGCAGAAAAAGTAAACTCTGGGTCTCTCCTAGGTTTCCCGGTGCAGTAGCTATCTTCCAAGGCAAAAGTACATTTTTCTTGATTTCCTTTTCAAAACTTAGAGAATACCTATTACTAAATATAACATAATATTTTAGAGTTTGTATTTGGATATATTTGCTTTTGCACAAAATTCAATTTAGAAATAATTTGTTGTATACATAAGATATAAGAAAATGTGAACAGCATGTTTTATTCATAAAAGCTATTAGTAACAATCACAATAATTGCTCATAGTTCAAGCATATCATAATTGGCAATTACTGCTCTAGTTTCAAAAGTTAGTTAATAGATGCTGTATTTTAACTTGTCCTGAAGGAGCAAAAGAGAAACTGAATAACTCTGACATTTTAATTCAATACTGATTCAATTAATTATTCTTTCATAAAATATTAGGGAATTTTAAGAAATGGTTTATTTGATCTACATTTTTATAAGCTATCTCATGGCACTAAAGACATACAATAGATAAAGATTAAGATTTAGGTCTGGAGGAACAGAAATGTTACAAACAGAATTTTTTTGACAAACATAGGGAGACCTGGATCTAATATCAGAAATTGAGGCTATCTTGGGAAATCTAGTCATCAAAAAGAACTCTATAATAACAAATACATCTATTTTAAAACCAAAAAATAGAGCACATTTTATTGCAAAAGTAACACATGCTTAAGTAACAAGACAGAGAAAGAAATTGGAGAAATAAAATTCACTCATAATCTTCTCACACCCTCATCTCCAGATAATCACTATTAACATTTCAATTCACAGAAATAGTCATCAGACCCAGCCACACTGATGTTTATAAGCAGGTCAATTCACAATAGCTAAGCTAAGGAACCAACCTAGGTCCCCTTCAACAGATGAATGGATAAAGAAAACATAGTATATAAACACAATGGAATATTACTCAGCCATAAAGAAGAATATTATGGTATTTGCCGGTAAATGGATGGAACTGGAGACTATCATGCTAAGTGAAATAAGCCAATCCCAAAAAACCAAAGGTTCTCTCTGATATGCGGATGCTAACACTCAATGGGGAGTGGGGCAAAGAATAGAAGTTCATCAGATTAGATAAAGAGGAATGAAGGGAAGGGAGGGGAGATAGGAATAAGAAAGACAGTGGAATGAATCAGACATAACTTTCCTATGTTCATATGTGAATACACAACCAGGGTAATTCCACATCATACACAACCACAGGAATGGGACATTATACTCCATGTATGAATAATATGTCAAAATGTATTCTACCTTCATGTATAACTAAAAAGAACAAATTTTATAAACAAGGAAAGAAACAGTCCTTAGAGTGGGCCTTGTCTCAGGCAAAGGCACCATTTATCCCAATGACATGAAACAATTTGTAAGAGTTCTGGCTACTGGACATTAAAAGGCACTCACCTCCAGGACACATTCATAAACTGTGTCATCCAACAAAGAAACCTTGCAGTGCATGTTTCTGTGTCGTCTGACTGATTTCTGGGAAGCTTTTAATTCTCTTTCTGTTTTTGACTCAGGATCTTCTTTTACTTCTGTTTTGGAGAACTCTTCAATTCCTTCTCCTTCCTTAGTTTCAAAATCTAGATCTTCTCTGTGTTCTTCCTGAGCTGGCTGCATGTCCATGGCATCATGAGGTAAGTAATAAAGACATTTTACAAAGTGTGTTGAATGAATATAGTTTTATCTGCAATAATTCTACCAATAAAAATACTAAGTGAAAAAATAAAAACTATTAAAGCAAATATGTGGACATTAATATTAAATGATTATTTTTATAAAATATATTATGATCCCCCAAAAGATCGACAGACTTCACTATTCTCAAAATTTCTCAGATAGAATTCCATCAAATTAATAAATGATGGTTTCAGGTAAATTGTAAGACATCAATCCCTTGCTCTCAGTGTTATATATTCTTTCTGACTATGACATTATATGATATTGTTAAAGTCTGTCAAAACTTCATCATCTTGCTAGGCACATGCCTGTAATTAGGAGGTCAAGGCAGGGGGAATCACAAGTTCAAGGTCAGCCTCAGCAACTTAGTGAGACCCTCAGCAACTTATCAAGACCCTGTCTCAAAGTAAAAAACTAAAAAGGGCTAGGGATGTGGCTTAGTGGCAAAGCACACCTGAGTTCAGTCCTCAGTACAAAGACAAAAAACTTTATCCTCTCTGTCCCATGCTCCTAAATTTTTACAAAATATGAAAAATTATGCTGTATATGTGTAATAAGAATTGTAATACATTCTGCTGTCATTTTTTAAAAATCAATTTAAAAAATTAAAACAGGGGCTGGAGTTGTGGCTCAATGGTAGAGTGCTCACCCCGCATATGTGAGACCCTGCGTTCGATCCTCGGCACCACATAAAAATAAACAAAATAAAGATATTGTGCCCATGTATAACTAAAAAAAATTTTTTAAATTAAAAATTAAAACAAAAAAAATACATAAAATATGACTTGCCACATATTCTCAATTTTACCAATGGGACCTATTTTAGCACATTGAACAAATATACATAATAGGTTAAAGACTACCTGTTAACTCCTTCCTACCAGGAACAATCATGCTAAATGTAAACAAGATTCAAAGACGGAAAATACATATTGAAATCTGGGTCACCTAGGGTAATCATTAAGTCATAACACAGGAGAATGGGACAATATTTTGGCAGCCTTTTTTTTTTTTTTTTTTACTTTCAACATAATATAACTGCTGAAAGATTTTAACTAAACCTAATTCTTCTCTTTAAAATAATACATGGTTGACATCTAGGAAAAAAGGACTTAATGACTTGGCTCCTGCATTAGATACTGGAGGTGGCATACAAGGCCCATACCCAACCTTCACAATATCTCATGCAGCCTCAGGGAGGCCTTCTTTAGCTATCATGTCGCCCTATCCCTGCTGTAGTACTTGTCACCTCAGCACCATTTGTTGCCTTCATAACACTTATTATAAATAAACTCTAATTTTATACTTAAAACTTGTCTCCTCCATTAGCGTACAAAACCCACAAGAGTAGGAACCATCTGTTTTATAATGAAAATAATGACCAACATTTACAGTGTTGTCATTTAGTTATTGTCCTAAGATCATTACTTACAGGAATTAATTTAATCCTCATAATAACCCTGTGGGGCAGGTACTATTATTATCTCCACTTGACAGATGAGAAACTGAGGTCACAGAAGTTAAAGAAACTTGACTAGGATAATATAAGTCACACACCAATTGGCTCCAGAATCCATGATCTTAAACCTCTTCGCTATAGTGTAGTTTTTAATTTATCAAGGTACATCCACCCTAAGGCTGGCACACATGGTAGGATTTCAATAGGTATTTATGGAATAAATAAATAAATAAACATTAAAAAATATTTTGGTTTCCCCCAAATCCAAGCTATCCTGAATGAAAACTGATACAATCCTATAATGCAAACTCACGTTATTCACACGTTCTGATCCACTAGGTTTTGATTGCAAATACTAGTTCCCAAAGGCCTAAAATAGTTTATTCCTTTAAATAATAACCACTTGAGATTTTATTAACACTACTAACTTATTTTGTTAATTTTTCTTCAAACATACATAAATACCTGCATACAATTTATCTTACTTCTGAATTAAGTCTTGATGAGATTTTAGTTAAATCTAAAATTAACTTTGTCTATCACCTGTTTCATACATTTAAATACAAATCTAGGGCTGGGGAGTGATAGTGGTCAAATTATATTGTTAAAGTGTGCACATGTCTGAATATGTAATAACAAATTGCATCATTATATACAATTCTAATGCACCAATAGAAATGTGAAAAAAAATACAAATCTATGATCTTTCGACAAAATAGACAAGTTCTGATTCAAATGCTAACTAAAACAAGATTTTTCCTTTCATAAAAGGAAGAGGGAGCAATTAAAATTCCTTTGAAAGTACCAGACTTCCTGAAAAGCAATGTAATTTAACTCTTTTGATATTCCAAAAATTAAAGTAGTGACATCATAATATGTGGGGTTTCTTTGTTTTCTGTCTTAAATTTTAAGGTGTTTATTTTATAATGCTTATATGGCAATACCTGAGAATACATATAGGGTTTCTTTGCCGTTACTGTGCATGTTTAAAAACTGAGTTATAATAGCTAACATTTATTGAGTGCTTATTATATTTCATGTTTTACAGGTTCATTTCTTTTAAACCTCACAAAAGTCCAGTGAGGTGGATATCACTGTCCCCACTGTGGGAAGGAGGAAAGTGATAAAATGAAAAGTGTCACTTCTCTATGATTTGAACTCCCTGGTCTGATTCTATTGTGTATATTCAAAGTGATTACACTATACAGTAAATCCTGTTTTCAACTTTGTTTCACTAATAGCAAATGCACAATTACCATCTTATCCTAATTTTCCCTTTAGCATTCTGAATATACAAATACTATTTCTAGAAATATATATAATCTTTTAAGAAAATTCTAATAAAACTGTATATATATAGTCCAAACTTTAGATTCAGGCCCTATACTAATAAATGCTACACAGTGATAGAAAGAGCTAGAGTTCCTCACCTACGTACGTCTTACATTCTGCAGTAATAGAATCTAGTTGAAGAATAAGGCAGACATGGCTCAAATCTATCTCATACTCTTGGATGGCTTGAATCTATCATACAGTTTTTCCAAAAAGTTCCATAAAAGGACAACATTGGGTGACAACTATTCCATTTCTAAGAATTTCACCAAAATGAACTCAAAACAACCTAACTTCTTTTTCACTTTCTCATTAAAATCCTGAACTTTTCCATTATGACAGCAAGATGATATATGGGCTGAACAAACTCACTTGATACTTTTCTTTCATTTCCTTTTCTTTGATTTACAGACTGTATCTTTTTAAAAATCAAGTTCCCACTGACTACATTAATTTCTTTAGAGTGCTAACTCCAAAGTTTCATCTTGTTTATCCTTACCAATGCCAAAGTTAAAAAAATGAAACCAAATGTTTTTCAGTGAAATGAAGTGTATAACCTGTCTCCACTACACGCCCTCTACCCGGTTGACACCTCCTTACCTGTGTTTCTGCACTGCTTAATGAATGAAGGTCCAAGGAAGGATCTGTTTTGAGCTCAGGTTCAGGTGCAGCAATTGGGGCCTTTAAAATAATTTCTTCATCAAGACTGGTTCCAAATTCTGTCTCTTTCTGACCTCCTTCACCTCTTTCTTTATCTGACTCTCCCTCTTTGACTTCTTCCTCAGAGACCTGAGATTTGGGCCTTTTGAGAAATGAGGAGAGCAGTCGCGAGAGGCCTCTGCTTTCTGATGTCCGATCCTTGTTCTTGTTCAGGTCTTCGTGAGTCGGAGTGTCTCCATTGGATGTCTTCAGCTTCTGCTCACACTGATTGTCCCCTTCAGCTGCTGCTTGAGAAGCCTCTTCCAGTTGAGCTTCCTGCTGTCCTGAGTTTGTGGCTCCCTCGCCCTCTTCCTTCTGTTGTTGGTGCTGAGAATTTTCAGCCTCGACCACTAAACTTTTCTCTGTTGTCATGATGTTGCTATGAAAAAGAAGATGGAAAAGAAGAGCTCTTTATAAGCAAAACATGAAAGTGTAGGCAAATACTTAAGCCCTAAAGAATTCATATGTTTAGGTATTTAATCACCAACAAACAGAACTCCAATCCATTAAACATGATACTTTCTATTGAAGTACAAAAATATTTTACCTATACATCCTGAATAAATTGTTAATGCCTTGAGTCACTAAAAATATGCACATAAGAAATTAGCTTAAAATAATACCTATTGCATCCATGTAGTGAACAACAGACATTAAGTTAAATGCTCAGAACTGCACATAGCAAATACCATTTTATCCCTCCTAAAAAAGGGATCTTGTTGCATATTGTCCCTTGAGGGTATCAATATGAAGGTACAGAATTTGCAGAAATTAACCTCTGCAAAATTCTCCATACCCCAAGAGATGATTAAGTTTAAAAGTTCCCCAAGTCTTTATTCTTCTTTTTTATATTCTTAGAATGAATACACGTCTCCATTGAGGACAGCAAATGTGCCAAATGTGGTGGTGCACCTATAATCCCATTGACCTGGGAGGCTGAGGGCAAGAGGATTGTAAATTTGAAGCCAGCCTCAGTAACTTAGTGAGCCCCTGGGGATGTAGCTCAATGGTAAGGCATGCATGGGTTCACTCCCCATTACAAACAAACCAACCAACAAAAAACAAACCAGCAAACAGAATTCTGATTGTTATTAGAGCAGACAATAGTGATGAGAGATACACAGTGAATCACAAGAGATTTCCTCTTTCAGGAATATCCTATTTTAAGCTCTTGCAAGCCATTTTTATTTCTAATATGATTTTGAAAGTTCAGCATTTTTGAGAGTAGGAGATGAAACTATTAAAACAGAGAAACAAGAGAGAAGAAAGCAAATATTGATTCACTTGTAGGGAAAGAGAAGAGGCATGCTGTAGAACTTTCAAACTTGATTTCTAGGCTTTTGAACTCAAAATCCCTATGTTATTAATCAAGCTTTATGATAAGAGCCAAAGAGCACTATCACACCTAGTTTAATAATAATAACCAACACACAGGGAGACTTTTAAAACACTAGGCTATGAACTTGACTATCAATGATCTTATATGATTCACTGTTACATCTTAAAGTACTCCCTGCCCATCAACAGCATGTTGTTAAACTGCCAATGAAACATTTCCATATGATTTAGACCAAGTAATTTTACTTAGATATTGATAATCTGAATTAATGAACTGTATTTAACTCATTCCCTCCTCAAGTCCTTCACATTTGCTGTTGTCTGTATTATGATGCTCTTCTCCTGCCTCTTTGAAGGTTGGTCCCCTTCTCATCCTTACTGCCCCGGCTCAGATGACACGCTTTTTATGATGTGTCTCCACACACCGTAGCTAAAGTGATGACTCTCACTGCCCCCATCATATTCTCACAAAAGTATTCTTTTGGAACATACTGAAACAATTTCAGGTAATATAATACATGAAATGATAGAAAACAATGACCAGGAATTCAAACAATTCAATAATCAACAGAAATGCTACAACTCAGTTTACAAAAGAAAAAATAAAAATGAATGCTGAAGGACAGTTTGTATGTGTGTTCTTTCTACACTTGGGTAGCAATGCTATTAGTAAGAATGAGAAGGGGGAGAGAATAAACATAAAAATATAAATTCAACTGATAAACCATATAAATGAAACTATCTTAGTTTAGCTCTAATGTTGATATTAATTCAACAAAAAGTTGGGTGGGGTGACAAACACCTACAATCCCAGCTACTTTGTAAACTGAGGCAAGAGGATCTCAAGTTCAAAGCCAGCCTCTGTAAGACCCTGTCTCAAATTTTAAAAGGGCTAGGGGTGTTGCTGAGTGGCAGTGCAACCCTGAGTTCAACTCTCAGTACAACAATAAATAAAAATATATTGCAAAAAAAAAAATCTATGGACCATTTACTAAAAGCTCCTGACAAATCAGTTACACAAACTATCAAATTCTTCATACTGCAAATGATAGGAGAGGTAACCAGAGGAAGACACAAAGAAGTCAAGCAGAAAAAACAGGATAAAGGTTCTACAAACAGGCCCTTCCTGTATAAATGATACTCTTTTCATTCTGGTTACAGAATCCAAAAGAAGATATCTATTTACTTGATGTCAGAAAGAAGCCTCCTGATAAAGAAAGAAAGAGAGAGAGAGAGAGAGAGAGAGAGAGAGAGAGAGAGAGAGAGAGAGACAAAGTTAGGAAGGAAAGATTAGTACAGCACTGAAGACAAAGTGATGAGTCCCATTTCATCTCAATCCTAATCCTCCAAATCCCTTCTGGTATCAAAGATACACTTGTTTTAATAATATGCATCTGCATATTCAAGCAAATCAGAAATGTTAGAACCCCAACTCCCAGGAGATTGAAAAGGTCAAATGAGAACTTTCTTTCTTTCTTTTTTTTTAATGTCTAACATTAGTACAGTCAATGCTCCATTAAAACTTCTTCAGTGGAAAACTTCATAAAAACACTAGTTTGGCAACATTAAGAAAATTTCCCTTGCCATCAACATTTAGGGATGAAATTTAATGACTTGATATTGGTAATACTCTTTAAATTAGCTCACAGAGAATCTATTAATGTTTAGTGGGTGCTAATCAGGTAAAAAAGGATTTACCTTGGCTGTCTGAGAGAGACCAAAAAAGAATACACAATTCTTAAGGAGATGAGAAATAAATACTGAAACACAAGGCAGTATCTTAATTAGATAAAAATTTATGAGAGAAATCAATGAAGTAACACAAAACTATAAATTAAGAACTTTAAACTAGAGTGATTAGCCATGCTGAAATGGTGGCTTTTAAATTAAGCTTTCAAAGATGAGAATAGATGTCAACCGAAAGAGACTTAAAGGGCAGTGGGCAAAAGGAATTCCATGCAGGGCAACTGGCATTAATGAGACCACTCTAGCTCCTCAGGAATTAGCAAGAATTTCAGAATGGTTGGAATAAGGTTACAATTAGGAAGTAGTGGGAAGTAAGGTTAGAATAGTTATCACTAACTAAACTAATTGCAATCAGAAGCATGCCTGTAAACCCAGCAGCTTGGGAAGCTGAGGCAGGAGGATCACAAGTTCAAAGCCAGCCTCTGCAAAAGTGAGGCACTAAGCAACTCAGTGAGACCCTGTCTCTAAATAAAATACAAAATAGGACTGGAGATGTGGCTCAGTGGTTAAGTGCCCTTGGGTTAAATCCCCAGTACCAAAAAAAAAAAAAAAAAAAAAGTGGGGGGAGAAGGTGAGAGAGGAGGAGAAATGGGAGCTACCATTTATGGAGAACCTACTAAATGCCACACACTATTCTAAATGTTTTACTATGTTATCTTACAACCATTCTGTAAGTAGACATTCTCATTTCCCCCCAATAAATAAACAGGCTCTGAGAAGTTAAAACATTTGCCTCAGTTCACACAGCTAAGCAATATTTTAATAAAACTATTAATATATTATAAAGTGGCAATTCCTTTGTAAATTCTCAGGTTGTATCTGTCTCAGAGGCTTCTGCCCCAGAGATACTTCTGTGTTAAATAAACCCCTATTGTTGAGAAATTATGGGCAGCCTCTTCAATACAGCCAAGATCACTGTGTTCTCATCAATTTCAGGTCCCACAACCATGTGCAGATTTTTCTTTCCAGAGAGTACATGTGAAGATGGAATGGGGAAACAGACACAGGCAAAAATGACAGCTTAGGAAAGGACATGAATATTATTTTAAATAATTTGGTCTTCATCCTGAAGGTGGTGGAGAGCCACTGGAGTTTTTTGGGGTTTTTTTTTTTGTTTTGTTTTGTTTTTTTAAGTTGTACATGGACACACAATATCTTTATTTTGCTGAGCATCGAAACCAGTGCCTAACACATGTGAGGCAAGCGCTCCACCACYGAGCAACAGCCCCGGCCCCACCACTGGAGTTTTTAAATAGGGAAGTGAATAAATAAAGTGGAAGCAGAGAGTAGGATACAAATTGGATAAATTCAGGTTATTGATGAACACTCACAATGGGAATCCCTGGGAAGCTGAAACCAATCCTGACTGGGCAGAGAAACTTGAAAAGCCTTGCAACCAAGGTTTCCGAATTACTACAGCCCTTGGTTTCTCTAGCTTGTTCTCATTAGAATGCTTCTCATTAACCCTAGCAGTTTCAGGTCTGACCTTAAAGGCATTTTCATAATACACCTCTTTTGGCCCACTCTGATAAATGGCTTAATGAAAAACATACAGCAATGGAACCAAAATAGAAGAGAGATGGGCATCTCACAACTCTCTCAAGACATTTTCAGAAATACTCTTAATTTTCTGTTTTTCTTATCCTAGTAAATGGCTCAATCATACCATCCAGACCTCAAACCACAGACCTCAACACTGTCTTTGCCTTCTCCATTTTCCTTCCCAACCAAATCCGTTAGTCCTATAGTCTACCTCCAACATATTTAGAGCCGATTCATGTTCCGCCTTCTCTGCCACTATCAGGTTTGTGCCGGTCTCCACTTCTCACTTGAACTACAGGTCCTTAATTAAATGAYGTGACTTCTTCCTACCTCACCAGCCTCACTTACCTCCATCATTTTAGTCTACACAATGTGAAAACAGTTTACAAGAAAAACATTTTAAGGTCTTGATTGAACATGCCCCAATAGAAGTAAAATTCTAAATCAGCTAACAATTTTAGCTGCATTTCTAGRATTATAATGACCACATTTGACACTTCAACATAAATTTTGAGAATGTTACAATGTTCTAGGTGCTATAGTATGCAGGAGGCTACACTAGTGAGAAAGACAAAAGAGTCTCTGACGTCCTGGACTTCACTTTCCATCTAGAATACAGTGGAATGTAATAATCCCTCTGTTCACAGTATTTATATTGTATTGTAAATCTTACATTCAGTTCTAGGCAGTTTACCCTAAAGAGAACAGACTCCGTGAAAGAAGAGATAGAAGATAATGATGGAATTTAAGACT